AAACGAGGGCAGCACGTGTAGCGCTCGAATATTGGTTCGAGATTCGATTGCGATGTCTTAAATGGGGTGCGCGCCCATGAAATCGAGTGGTTGGCGTCGTTCAACGTGTCAAGCAAACACTGGACATGATTCGACATAGTTTCTGCGTAATGCACATAATCTAGGCGGTCTGGTGAATTTCAGTGATGGTGCTTTCATTTGTTAGACCCCCCCCCCCATTCCCGCCCTTTCGCGTTCATTTCATTGGCAACGCGAGCCTTTGGGCATTACCGTAAATGCTGTTAACATTCAGAAATTTAAATGTTAGCAAACACGCATCGCATGTTTAGATTCTCAGACACACGGGGCTGTATGCTCAAAACGTTTTCCACAAGTGCGGCTCTTGAATAAGATGTTTTGGTTATAGTGCGGTACCGCTTAAAGAGCGGACATTCGAAACTCCCGCAACTTACGTTATAAGCACGGTCTATACTATAGTAGACTGCATGTCACTTCAAATCATCAAACATCTCTTGTAAATGCGCCATGACATTACTTATTTATTTGAACCTTGCTGCAGCGACATCAAGACAGCTTACCTCTGTGCAATAGTAAAGCACATCCCACTAAATCATCGAACATCTGTTCTGAACACACCAAACAGGTTACTGAGGAACACTGCATGTAATGTGCATCAATCAGGAAAAGGCATTCTAAAAGAAAAGTTCTTGCGACTTCTGAGCAGCCAATATGAAGTCGGTACTTTCTTTTACTTCACCTCAAAAACATAGCCTTCTCGTCTGAACCCAATTAGAAATGGTGCTTTTGTTCTACTTCTGCAAATGCTAGATGAATTGAATTACGAGTGAGCGTTCTTCGCTATGCAGGTAAAACCAGATGACCTTTGGCAACCTGATTTATAATAAATATTTGCCCAGATTTCAACGCCTCTTAAGGATATTGGTAACACAAACACACATGTTGGCATTATCTGTTCTGAAATTTTCACCAGAACAACACCATTCGCTATTTGAAGAAAATGCTGTTTTTCCCTCACTGTTCGCTAACGCGTTTTCCTGATGGGAGTATGACAGCGGAGGCCTGGCTTCAGTTTCACGATGTAGATTTTACATCACAAGTTTTCTTCCGACAGTTTATCTGTTGTTAGTCGACTTTTGGCCGGTAGTATAACACTATAACTATGTGGCCCTGCGGTGCGAGGAGCATTAGAAGGGCACTAAAGAGCAAAACAATTTTCGCGTATTGGTGAAGTACAAGTTGACGATCCCGAAAACGCCACAGCTTAAGCTTTTGGTAAGCGAGAAAATGCGCAGAAGTAAAATGCGGGTGGAGACGCGATTGTGGGATTCCCGCACCCAAACACCGTGACGTAGTAAATTTGGAAGGAATCTACTGGGTCCTAGTTACTTTCTACTCGAAAAAAAAATAAATAAAGTGTGTTGTTTGCGGTGTCCTAGGTCTAGCATAGAAGGTCTTGGGAAATTTGATCGAGGCAATGTCGCAAAAATATGAAAAATACATTTTCAAAATTACTACCTCACACATGTAGATTTTGGTGCGATATTTAAAATTGAAACTTGAACCTTGATTTTCTCTGCTAATAATAAACTATGACAATGAAACTATAGCATTGGAGTTTTTAGAGTGTACTTCATCAATGTAAACCAAGTCACTGTTTCTCTTTAGTGTGCCTTCAAGGTCGGTAGGATGAAAAAGCCCGTTTCGTGTCGGGCGAGGCCTGACAGAAAAGAGAAAGCAGTGGCTGGCCCAAAAAAGGTGGCGGAGCTCAATGTAAAGAGGGGAGAAATGACAGGTGCACCAAAAGCAGACAAGAGAAAGCTCGGCGGAAGTTGCGTTACAACAGCGGTGCAAAATGCACACAATTGAGGTCACGATACTTTCATCAGGTGAGCACAATCGTCAAACGAGGTGATGACAGTTTAGGTGAGAACACTCGTCAAATGAAATTGATAAAAAAATTTGAAGTAATTTAATGAGTGCACGTGTAGTGAAAACATATCTAGGCACCTTTCTAAGATTGCAGAAAAGGACAATCGTTTCATTCAGGTACCGCAATGAAAATGGCTGTTTGATAAGCATTCATTGATGCCGCTGCCGATAGTTCGAGTCTGGACTGATGAATTAAAAGCCAGAAGGAACAGTTTCTTGAGCGGCCTAAATTTCATTTCAGTTGTACGTCCACCTATTCCAGAGTACTGTAGAACTTTGCAGCGCAAAGGCCTCCAGCTAATTCACATTACTGTGGTGCGATTCGGTTCTTTGGTCACAACAGCCTGCTTTTTGCCTTCCAGTTGCCGAAGAATATCCTCTTTCTTGCTTAGCAAAAACTCCTTTCGCTTCTTTGTCGCAAGCAGAGATGAACTTATTTGTAGTAGTATCGCAGCGGGAACGCAGACTTGCTTTGCGGACGCGAGGAGGAGGAGGAGAAAAAACTTCATTGTGCAAGAGTGTCGATGTGGGCTTGTTGGTGAAACATTTGAAAGAAATTTATGTAGCGCGAGGCGAAAAAACGAACACAGGAAAGAATAGACTGAGAAGACAGAGCGCTCTGTCCTCAACACAGGAAAAAATAGACTGAGAGGACAGAGCATTCTGTCCTCTCAGTCTATTCTTTCCTGTGTTCGTTTTTTCGCTTAGCGCTACATAAATTTCTTTCATTGGGCAAGTGAGTTTGGTTCTTTTACAGACCCTGGGCCACCGCACGGCCATCACATTACATGTATGTGTCCAGACCACGCAGGGCTAGGGCACTGGTACCCTGGTTCACACAGCGAAGCTGTGCGTCCAGGTCCTGTGACGCAAGGAGGGCCTCCCATGTGCTGATGGCGGGCTGTCCCTGCAGGGCAGGATCGGCAGGGCAGCCAAAGAAAATGTGGTCTATGGTGGCAGGCGACTCTCCACAGAGAGTGCACTCCGGAGAAATGGGGCGCAAGTTGGATAGCACGTGAGGAGTGGGAAGACTTCTCGTCTGAAGTCGCCTCCAGACGATTTGTTGCAAGTGAGAAAGATGGGGGTCGGGAGGGTGTAGAGACGACGGCAAGGTGTGCTTGTTGGGCGAGCTCAGAGAACGTGTGCGCCCGCTCTCTCAAGAAACCCTGGCTGGGGTCGCCGATGCGATAAGTGCCATTGTCAGATAGGAAAGACACACGGCGCCGAGGCGCTTTGTCCCAGAGTCTCACGTAACTCATCGAAATCACCGAAAAGAGATGAACACGACTGACAAAACAGGCCTCCTAGAGAACATGAAAAAGTAACAAAAAAAACCCGAAGCATCGCGGCTGTCATCGCCTCTTCCGAAGAAAAAAAAAGCGCTAAAAAATAAAATTCCTCGCGCTTCGTTTTCTGCTCCCCCGCTGTCTCAGGTTTTCTGCGCCCATGCGTCCTGCTCCGCAACTCCCACTCTAAGCGGCACCCTCACCATTTCTTGGCTCACCGCAAGGCTCACCACTCCACTAAAACCTGACAGCCTCCGCCCTCGGCCTCGCCTCGCGCAGCTAGTTGCACCACTTTTTTTCCTACCAAGCCTCGGCCTCACCACACTGCGATGCCACCTGAAGAGCGCTACGCCAACAAATGACGCAGCCACGACTAAGAGCAGCTTTCAAATGCGAAACATTTCTTTGCATAGTGCAAGCACTTCTAGCATCCGCCCATCTGTCCATCCATCCGTTCATGCATTCATTCACATCCATTCGTCCATCCGGCCGTCTGTCCGTCCATCTATCCAGCCATCTATCCAGCCATCACATCTGGGTGCTCTCATGATCACCCCCTTAACTTGGGGTAAACCAAAGTTAGTAAGATGGGTTGTCGAATACAACTCGCTGGTCATGACATAAATAATGTCTGAATATCGTCACGTACGTCGTCGAACACTTCCCAATAACCAGTGGCACATACACGGGGGCGGGTATGTGCCGCTGGTATGTGGGTATGTGCCACAGGTGAACACATCATGTATCTACCCAGGAACAGCGGGAACACACATGAAAAACTATAGCGTTTGACCGTTAAGAAAAACCCGCCATAAGCAGTGTTGGTTGGACAAATGCAAACAATAAATGTGAGTGTCCCAGCACGAATCAAATCCTAGCATTCTGCGTGCCAATCAAATGTTCTACCACAGAGCCACGCCAGGCCTCAGATATACTATTCAAATGAACCCTAATGTTCCTGTAGCATCAATTAGAGTATGTTGTATTGCAGTAGTTGTGTAACGTCACACTGCAGTACTCGCTATCTGATTTAATGAACATTACATATGTACTCCTATGATACAGCCGTCAAGTTGGGTTAATGAAAATTGCAGTTAGGCAACATTTCCTGAAGTTCATCTGTCTAGCAGTGTTCAGAGCTACCATCCTCCTGTGCACCAGCGCAAACAACAGCACTTCATACCTGCTTACCGCTTGTGGGGTTGCTAAGATCCATATCTTTATTGGCATGTTTAGGCTACTGTAAGCAACTGCTAACTTAAAACGTACACGGCTGTTTAACATACATGTGTGAATGGATTTGTAGACATATATTTAGTGCCACTTCATAATGGTCTCCCTCAATGAAAAAAAAATAAGCACATTCACTTTACAACCGCATGCTTCACATAACATTGATTCCCAAAATGCGTGGGATCTGCCAAAAGTTTTAGTTCAATTATGTTGCAGCTGCCGCTTGCAAGGAGGTTTAACCATGGACATATACGTGCGGCTGCGTCCAACGAAAAAAAAAAATATAATCGTCTTTTCTTCAGTGGTGAATGCTTCACAGAACATTGGATATTAAAGGCAGGCTCACATGCCACGACTGTTTGTTTGGGTCGTGTCTTACATGCATAATAAAATAGTGCGAGAGTAAGTTCAAATTATTTTTCCTCCTGTACAAGCGAACACAGTTGCGCCTTAAGTGTCTGCTTCTTCAGATTAGAAAAAAAATGATCGAAGTGGTTTCCAGTTAAAGTGTTTCGAGTACGCCAATACCTTTTTCAGAGAGTCCGGCTATTATGGTAAGGATCTTGTGGACAACATCCTCGTCAGCATTGTGCAACAAAGCCTGGAATGCAGCTCGACACTTGTCGGCAGCGCGATCTCCTTCAGCTTGCTCGATGGCAGCGATGATTGGCTCCAGCTCGAGCTCGTTGTGGAGAGGCTTCAAAGCTCGCCGCACATACTCCATGTTGTTGATCACGATGCACACCTGCAATCACGTCGAATTTCAGTTATGATATTTTGAATGCAAGAACTACTCATTGCTTACGGGGCACGCCGTAGTGACAGAATCCGGATTAATGTTGATCACTTGGATGTTTATTATTGTGCTGCAAAAACTCCGTTCACGTGGCTTTTTCTGCATTTCACCTCCACGAAAGGCTACCAATGTAGTCAGCAGGCGAACACGCCTGAACGAGGTTAGCAACAAGAAAACCTGACCCCCGAGCTGCCACGGTGGGTCACGGCCATTCCGGCAGAGGACAATTACCCTTGTAGATGTGACATACAGCTTATGATGTGTGCAGGTGTAGCATGCAAGCAGCTCGTGCAGTATTTGTATTAGGATATTTATGGGAGAGGTTTTTGTCGATGACTGCCTACAAATAGGTTCATGGTGATAATAATCTCTAGTTGAAAAAATCATACACTGCCTCTGGCCAAAACAACCAACCTACTCCATGCTGTTCACGAATGACCGTCCAACAGATAAACTGTGATCAAAATATTTTTTTGTCATTTTCTCAAATAAGAGTGGTAAAGCAATAAAGAAATCGTGCAAAAGTAAGAGTGTGCAAATTCAAAGCATTTTTAGCCTTAAGGTAACTACCGAAATGATGTCTTGTATTTTTCTGTTAAAGATATAAATTTGTACCCTTTAAGTTTATTTAAACCCAATACCTCATGACATTGATCATGATCATGCCACGTGAGATCTACAGGTGGATGAAAAGTTGGGCTCTGAAGTGCTACGCACTTAAAGAGGCTCTGCAATTGCTTTTGAGCATGGTCAGAAAACACTGCCGATTTGAGGTTGAGGCTCCCAGCCATGCCAAATATTAGAGCTCTGCACGCCGGCTTAGAATTTACAATAAATTCTCGAATTCAGTCAAAAATCACTTTCTCTTCTCTCGGCAAATGACACTACAGGCTCAAAATCACTACGTTCTAGGCCAAGTATCCACCATCGGCTGATTTGAGCATGTCCCGTTCGGTCGTTACTGGGGCCGCTGCAAGAGGCCGCGACTAGTTCGCGCGATTGCATTGATGAGCTACGTATTCGAAGGGAAAAAAGAGAGAAAGTGTTCAAGGTGACCAGGTGAGCGTGACGCATTTGCTTTCCCCATGTAATTCCTGCCTGCTTAGCTTTCTGCACTTTTGTCAGGATGAGAGAAGAGAATGCAATATCAGCATGTGACCACTGCAGTGTATACAACTCCACTCGTACTAGACAGATTCTGAAAATTTTCGCAATAGTGAATTCGTGAGGCAGTTAAGCTCCTTTAGTGCCATTTCATGGCTTCTTAGAAAAGTGTTACAGGGCTCATTAATAATCTGAATATTAGAGTGGCAGAGACAGCTTGTAGAAGGCGCGCGGTGATACACTAGAGTTGGGATAATGGTGACATACTTGCAGATGCACGTTTTTATTGATTACTTCACGCAAGAGCTTCCCGTTGCGGTATAAACAACGTGGCGTTCTACATGTTTCAAATGCATTCCACTTTTATAGTCTGGACACAGCTCATTACACAACCACGGATTTCAATGTGCACTATCAATCACTGTCGCGAGGAAGCGGGGGAACCGTGAGAGTGATGAGAACTGTCCGAAAGAAGCTCAGACATTGGCATGCAAATGTGGGCACTCCAGCAAGCATGCGAAGCGACGTTCCCCTGTGGAAGAGCTAAGCCCAGGCCGCGCTAAACCTTGCTGGACGTTCAAATAAGTAGTATTCATCTATCCATTTACATCTCAACACCCCTGACATGATTGCGACAGACACAAGACTGAAAGTATGAAATAGAAATGTATGTGATCGAAAGTAGCAGTATTGCATAAAACTTGCTGTTGGGATGGTGTTGTATCTGAGATGTCTAATTTTTTTAGCACAAACAGAAAAAAAATGACTAGCTTAGAAGAGAACAGTGTCTTCTTTACTTCTCAGCTATTTATTTTTGTTCCTGTTCGCGCTATAAAATAAACGTCTGGTAACAGCCTTGTGCCATCTATGGTAAATATTTTCTTGCCAGTAGATTGGCAGCTTATCATGAACCATCAGCGGACAAACCTCTTCCGAGACGTCGAACTGGCCTTCTTCATCATAGTAGCCCGCGTTCAAGAGCTTCTGGTGGCATAGGTTGGCGTAAAACATGGCTCCGTCACAGACAGCCTAGAAGAAAACCAGAGATAAGATATTCCAACAACACCTGCAAGAGCCATATGGCTGCGATATTCTACCATAACGAACACACCATTTATTCGAGCCAACGTGTTGGTTCTTCATGGTACCAATGATGAGAACGCTGCTGATCGGTGCTTAGCAGTGGTAACAAAGAAAGAAAAGGAGCTTTCGATCGTTCGAAGATGTACCCACCTCAAGAATTTTGAAGACAAAAGGGTAAGATCCTTTCAGGTCGGGCCATGCTAGCTGCCTCCAAAATTGTTTGATCTGAAATGACAAAAATAGTTTAGGAGTGAAGGAAACCGGCTTCAACTTAGATTAGGAAAAATTCGTGCATGTTGTGTGCAAAGGTGAATGACAGAAGTACATATTGTACAAAAGGAAATAAGCAGCCTCAATAATATCATCTCTGGGTTTACAAGCCTAAACAATGATATAATCACGAGATACCCGTGGCAATAGGTTCGGAAAATATCGGCCATATCGTGTTCCTTAACCCGTAATGAGATCACACAGTAGACAGGTCTACAGCATTCAACCTCGATATAAGTTCTATTGCCACAATCGGGGTCGAACCCGAGAGCTTCTGGTAATCGGCCGAGACGATGGGGACATGAAAAAGCAAAGGTTGAACTTGGAGCATAACCGGAAGAAAAATTTCGGTTTGGTAACCTTGGTACCTGATGCTCGTAGGCAGGTAGGTAAGAAGATGACAAGTCAAAATGGTCACAACCTAGGGAGGACCATAGGCGTATGCAGTGTTCTTAAGTATGGGGGACAAACTTACACCACTGCGAACCCCTCCTCCCTTGTTGACCAAGTCCGAAAGAAAACGAGCTTGACAATGAATGCCAGAATGAACATGAATCTCTCGCGTGCTTCTCAAGAAGCACCTGTCATTTGTCCTCGTCTTTTCAGGGTAGAAGTGTTATTACACGGTTCTTTGAAAGAAAGTAACATAAGGAATCTTTGACCACCATCATCGTTAAAGAATATGCACAGCCATAACCTTGACTAGTAAAAAACAAACGTGAAAGGTACAACCGACTGAGGTGTAGGGAAAAAATTGGCAGCCACCTTTAGAATATTAAGGAAGAGGGCTATAACCCACCCACCCTTTTCCATTACACACGCATAGACGTTCCAGCCGAAAGGGGCAAGGGGCCACTTTCGGCTGGAACAAGCCAAGAGTGACCACTTTCTACAGTGGTCACTCTTGGCTGCACACTGGAGAAACCAACCAGTAAAACATAGTTTTCCATCACAACAGTAATCACTGCAATTATGTTCTTACGGGAGAACATGAAATTGTTACGAGGCTATGTTACAAGATAGGGATAGTTTGCTAACGTTGCTGGTGTGAGAATTTTTTTTCTAAACTCATATTATATATATATATATATATATATATATATATATATATATATATATATATATATAATCTATATATATATATATATATAATATATATATATATGTATATATCCCTGCTGAGGAGTGAAGTAGGTCAGCCCCCCCATGTGCGAAAGAGTTGGTGGGACGCCACTGTAGACACGCCTAGAGGCGCGACCACTGCCATTCACAATGTTCCGGAACTATCAAGCGTGCAATTGCGGGTAGCACAATGAAAATTAACAATGGCAATGCAAGTTCAACATCTGCTAAGCCACAAGGTTCTTCATTTCAAATGATTAGGATGCATTTAAGTGTACAATCACTGTGTTTTCTCTGTGCTTGAGATAAAAATCTTTTTTGTTATACAGCAAGGTGTTTTGCTATCACCTAATTTGTATGGGCCATATTCTCCACCTTTTCATAAAAAAATTGTTGTGTGTCGCCAGATTTTTTTCTTTCCAAATGGCAATTACCAGCAGAAAGATGCACCATCATAGGAGATTATGTCAAGGCTAACCTTTTCAAAACTAACACGCCAAGGATGACAACGCGCCATTGACAAAATAGGTTCTTCTATCGAAACGTTGGCCAGCCTGTCTGAGACACTTCCTCGGTTCATTGTGTTTATTCTACTATGTGTTTCCATTGGTCAGCTCCCATCTTGATTTAGGAGTTCCCTATCTACATTGTATACCGTGTTTTGCAGCTTATACATGGCATCTTAAACTTCAAACCGAGAATGCATTTTTCTCAGTTTGAACAGTAAGGAATAGGTGTCTAGGAATTTCGACATAATAATTTCACCTCGTTACTCCGAAATTTTCCTCTGCTTCTATGCCATACCTTTAGCCTGTACATTCAGCTTCAGAGATGCAATACGTAATGCAAAACCATGAAAAAAAAAATTACTTGTTAGGGCAATAGATTCTGAGTCAAAGATGCTGAAACTGATCAGTACAGTGAACTTTTCAAACATATTATCAAAATTGTTCTCATGCTTACTTCACTAAGAATCTATAACTACATGATTTAACGGCAAATAATGGCGTCAGTCATATGCTCTTTGGACACTTTAATCCTTGTCAGTTGTTACCCAATCGCTTTTTTTATTAGTTTCTTGGAGAAAGCTTCACACATTATTTCTTCGTTATATTGACGAGCACCTGACAGCTTCAAGGGCACACTTTGAGTTCGTGATACTCACTTGGCCAAAGCATGTAGTTGTATCCACGGCGGATGTGCTGTGTTGAACGTAGGAGTCGATGCACTTGATCTGTGTGCACCAGTGGGAGAAAGGAACAGACACATAATTAAGCAAAATCAATAGCCGGATTTGCTGAGACACGAAATGTACAGTGGCCTTCATTCTACACATGACGCATCCACCCTGGTTGTATTCTAAAACACACTCACATAAAAGAAAACACACTGGTGCTGTGCAGACAAACACGCGTTAACAAGGATCAACGACAAGAGACCAGCTGAAACACACTTTCAAGCAACTTGATAAGCATCACACGTCATTACATGGCATTTATTGTGCTCTGAAATAAACCGCATGCTACAGTGCCTCAGGCGTACATTGGTGAACGCATCATTGTTTTTTCACATAGCGCATTGCTTTTCACGCTTTACGAGCATCGAATCCCAGTGTGATATCGATTCCTTCACTAGCGATAGGGTTGCTCATAACATATGCACACTGTGCTGTAAAAGTGCAGAACAATTTCTCTGATATTTTACCTATCTGAAAAAAAGTAGGTGAAAGCTGATGTAGTGTCACTGCAGCTGAAATTTTAAAAATTAAGCATCCTGAGAAATCTGTGTCTCCGATTTGCGAACAACATTTTGCGAAAGAAAAAAATGTGTTTTTCTGCCAAGAATGGCGCAGCCAGAACTTTTTTCGGCAGGGGGAGGGGGGTCAATTTTTATATACGTATGTTGACATTCGCGTTTGTGTGTCTGTGTATATATACGGTTGCAAACCTTCAGTGAATTTTGAACCGCCCTCCCTCCCTGTGGGCTACACAAGTAAAAAAGGTACAGCTGGTTTGATACTGTACCTTCCTACAACTGCAGGCCAGATGGTAACATTTTATTTCCCTAAAATCATCATCAGGAACAAAAAGATAGGCTCTCAAAGTTTGTGTGAGCCAGTTAACAGCAACCTTACTTCAAAGCACTGAAATAAGGAAGAAATAGATTAAATCGCACCACTACAGCATATCTTTACGAGTGACTGCTACACTGACTCTGCCGTCATGTAAGTAAGCAAACTCTACCTTTCATCGACCAGTCTTCAAGCACACACACCGACATGACACAAGCAAACATGCGCACACATCAAGCAGCTCGAGAGACAGGCATTAGTGGAGTTGTGCTAGCAAAACACATGGGCTGAATATTGCCTGGCACATGGTTACTGTACCTTCTTTTTATTCAGTAAAAAACCAGCAGGCATCTGCGCGTTCCCATTGGGTTGGCGATTGGGTGAGGCATAGGGAAAAGAAAGCCAGGCAGTCAGGAACAGGGCTTTACAGCAAGGCACGTTTTTCACCCAAGGAGGTCTGTAGGCTACTCTCATTTGCCATCATCATTCAGTAAAGATTGCTTTTCAATTGTATCAGAGACATGCCCCCTTACGGCACGTTACTTGCGGCTCGCAGTTTTAACCAGCAAAGTACCTTAAAACTAGTTCGTTGTGCAGTAACTTGCTGAGACCATGCTCCACTGATGCTAGAGATTTAGCCCAACGCCAAATGGACATGAAATTGAGCGCTTTCGAACCCTGAGTGACACTTGAGCACGCTGCGCTAAACTCGACGATATACCACACTAGTAGCAAATAAGAAATGGTGAAAGGCTGTGAGAATGTTTCTTGGAGGTGTAGTTGAAAAAGATAATAATGCATTAAGAAATATAATTGGTTTACTTTGAATTATACATAAAAAACGCCAGGCCTGCGAGATAGGTGCAGTACAGTCACAGCGAAAGCAGAAGAGCGGCCTTTCAGAGCCTTTTCAAAACACTCATCGGGTAACTACTGCAAGCACACTTGCTTGGTAACCACTAGGGCATTAATAATGAACTTTTGGGCAGTTGGTCGGCATTCACTATGCTATTTTTCGTCGTTCTTCTAAGAGGCGTGGTATTTGCTAAACACTTGCAAGAAATTTTGTGCCGATTGTCCATGCAGTGGCTGACGACGATAAGGAGTTGTCGCTGAATTGGGTATCCGGCGCGGTTAGTATGGCAACAACAACAAGCTTTTGTGATGGTTTGGAGCATCGGACAGCCCACTCCTTACGCTATTTTCATTGTGCGATGACTGGTTGTTCTTTCGCTGTTGTAAAAAAGCTTTATAAGTCGTAATAACGCGATTGCTTTCCCGACATCAAGCCTGCCTAAGGCAAGTTTGACAACAAGTCACAAGCATCGGTGTAGCTCAGTGGTAGAATACTGAGCTGGCACCCAGCGGACCTGAGTTCGAGCCCCACTGTGCCATTGGTGCTAAGTCATGCCTGCCAAGCCAAGTTCATTTGATTGATTGATTGATATGCGGCGTTTAATGTCACAAAACCACCATATCATGAGAGACGCCGTAAAGCAGGGCTCCAAAAATTTCGACCACCCTGCCAAGGCAAGTTTGACAACAAGTTATAAGCACTGGTGTACATCAGTGATAGAATATTAGGCTGACACGCAGCGGACCCCGGTTCAAGCCCCACTGCATCATTGGTACAGGGTTTTCTTTTTTCTAATTTTGTGCGATGTGGTTAGGGCAGCCGCAGTGGACAACAACTGCGCGTGACTTGAAAAGTGATATCATAACAGCTTTCGCTGTAAAACAAAGTGGTTTTTCTAACCAGGAAACGCAGCTGTGTTTTATATTATACTGGCCGAGATGCCACAAAATACACTCATGGAATGTGCTCCAACTGTAGTATACTGTGTTTTATATTATACTGGTAGAAATGCCGCAAAGCACACTCAAGAAACGCGCTCCAACTGTAGTATACTCTTCTGCAGGTAACACTCTTCTTGCCTCACTTAGCTTTGGTAAAGTGCCCTTAAGCCGAAGTATGCTTCCTGTAAGCACACTTATCAATTACCTGCTTGAGAAGCTTATTAGTTAGCTGTAGATGCTACTACAAGTCATCGATGTGCTGCTAGTGCCAGTAACATTGGGAATGTTCAACGCATCTCCTTTGTGGCAATGCAGCTCTTGCACAGTAACAAACAATGCTCGTGAAAATGCACATGTCGCGATAATTTATTTAACAAAAACTGCTGAAAATGGAGCGAAACTTACTTTGCGGAGCATTTCGGTTGAACTCGAATTAAGTTACCCCTTAGCCGCAATTTTGCCCGTCGTAGACAGTAAAAGTGTTGCTTATCAGCGTTTTACGCCAATCTGACCTTGCTGTAAATAGAACCTTTCAAACTGATGTCGACACTCTTGCTATTGGAAAGCCTTCCAACACTACTTCCTCATGTCTAAGAAAGCTGGCCAGCATGGGCATCTGGAGCAGGTCTATAGCTTAACCACTAGCCGATATGGGACCAAGGCAGGAGCTCAGAAACAATACATGTTCACACTCATGCGCCAGTTAAGTGCAAAATGTCCGATGTTTGGTGTGTGGAGCAATGGAAATCTAAAGCCTTACTAGCACAAAAAACGGGTCCTGCTACACATGATTCCTGTCAAGATGTTCAGTAATCAGTGTAACCTATTACGATGGATCATGTATTCACACGGCAACACTTGATGTACCAACAGATACAAGAACACTGAATCTTTCAGCATTAGAATATATCTCTACTTTCCCAAATCCCAGCAGCTGAAAAATCCGACCGAGACACACAACAAAAATTATGATGTCTTGTCCTATTTTGGGAAAGGATACGCAGCTCTCACCCTGTCATCTGTAACGTGGCTTTATTGAGTGACTTTGTATCGGCAGGTCTCTGAAGTGATACGACAAACTTTAGCGCTATTTCATAGACACTTCTTTTGGGGGTCGGGAGCATGCTATGATAACATAATTTTTGATCGGTAATACAAACTTTGTTCGAGTACCTCAGCTCTAGTTTATAACAACACAAATGCGACAGACGTCACTTCATATGTCGCTAGAAAAAGTCTCTGTTGCCCAACAGAAATATCTGTCGCTGCATCAAAAGTTTTAGGTGATTGCGCACAACTCTTCTTGTAACAACATGAGTTTTCACTGTCTAGATAGCAAATTCTTTTGCGATTTTTAGTGCCATCACAAAAACAGAAACATGGATAAAACACACACTGCTTATGACAAAGATTTAGGGGAGCTATGCACGATTGATGTGGCAGATGCATATCAAAATCCTGGACGAGATAGCAAAGGCTAAAGCTGCAGAGATAAGCATGAGCGTTAAGTGTAATTTGCTGCCATTGCATGCTCGTGGGATCAGGTGACATCAAGTGGGTTAGAAAATGGCGGAGTGCATAAAGCAGTGACTCACCCTCTATCCAAGCGTGTTTGGTAAGCACACAGAAAAGCCAACAGGAAAACAAGCAGGTCACAATGATGTCACTGCTAACAAACAGTAAAGCAAATCAATTTGTGAAGTACAGCACGAATACGTTTCAAAATCGGCATGGAATGTGACATTTCTTTTTATGGAAATTTCTCGATACTCCGTCAAAACATGTTACCTTAGCTTTGTCAGCAAAAAAAAAAAAACATCGTTGTTACTACTTTGATTAGAGAAAACATACCGGGCGTGACGTATGATAACTCTTGACTGCATTTGCAGAGGTATGGCAGCAATAAGATATTATAACTTCTATTCAGTTTCAGCATCATACTGTTTGTCTGTTTGCTGTTTTCACAGTTAAAACACAATTGAGTGGCCTTACTCTAACATGCGACTATTCGCTCGGTAGCTCTTCCATTCCGTTGAAATGTGTCAATTATCCCAGTACCGAGCCATTACTTTGCCGAGTGTTTAAATGCTAAAACATCAATAAGTTCTAGGCCGTCGCTGATACACAGAGCACCAGCTGTGTTTGGGATTTGATGTAGCGGAAAAATAAAAAGTCGGCGAAGCCATAATTTCAACAGACTTTTCTTGGTCAGGACTGTGTATGCGCCGCTGAACAACCTTTGCAAAAAGACAGATGTTTAGCGTCATCTATTTCGATATGTTTGTTAAGCTTCGCCTTCGGCTATCGTACTTGTGCAGTTATTCACAACAAATTAAAGATGTCTTTGCTGGAAACACCAAGTCCTGACTAAAACATATGTACTTAAGCCATTCTCCGTTAGGCAGATCCCGCCTAATTTTTTTTTGTATACACATCCTTGTTTACTTTTCTAAAATGTTCTGTTGTCTTTGAGTATGCTGAATTGTTTTATTTAACAGAGCTGACATCGCTGTAAACTGCGACTTATTCCGTCACTTGTTTTTTTGTTTGTATTTCAGGGCATTAACGTACCCTGTCTAGTTCCAGGGCCTTGCGTATCCTTTGCCGGGCCTTGACCTTGGCGACTGCGAACCATCCTTGAACCGAGTCGGCGAACCAAAGGTGAAAGTTCAGCATAGTTAGCTGCGGCCAGTCCCTGAAAGCAGTGGGCGACATTATCAGCAATTTATTAGCAATTCTGCCACTAACAGTGGTATTCGGGTCACCTGACAAGTCCGTCACTCAGGTAACACAAAAAACCCAGATTTCCAGGTGAAATTTAAGCTTGAAAAAAACGAAAAATTCCTAAATACAGAGTGTCCATGAATCCATCGTTTCAAACAGTGGTCTTGTCTTTTTCAAGGCTACAAGGTAAACTTTGAAAAAAATATGACCGTTTGTTCAAACATCTGCTCCCACAACACTCTGCATTTAACAATATTTCATTAGTTGCGTAACGTCACTTCACTTTCTTGATGGCCTCTTTACAACACATGCCACATCGGGGTGTTCAAATAACGCATAATTTCATATCGCTGCGTCAGTACGTCAAAGGCAGTAGACACACTTTGTAAAACAACAGGTAATAACAAAAAGCAAATACTCGTGTTACGTTCTGAATACGAACAAAAACAGCCAGTCGGTTTAGCCAGACTGGAAATACATCTACATGGTACACATAGGTACTTACTGTTAACGTAGGTGCTATACTATTTGGTTTATAGTAGTCTACAACACTTTGAGAAGTCATAAAAAAAGAGAGGTTATTGTAGAAATTTCAAGTACGTGACGAGCTAGTTGAGGGTTCCTTTTTTCTTTCATTCTGCCGACCTGTACGATGCTATGAAGTACCATGTAATAAAATAAAACAGGATACTTTATCTGAACTGAAATGGAATAAAACAGGATAGGCTATTAGAACTGATACAATCTTATAGTATTGCCAACAATGTGTGTTGCTCAGTGTCACCCTGGCAGTGGGCAAATAATTAAATCATCTCGCTAAAGAGAACCATGTGTAGCTGCGGAGCAACGGACTCTAATGCTTACACTGACTGCCAGGTCGATGCACGCAGGCACTCATCATGCCATTGCGCCGGACAAACCGAAACCTTGGGAGGTGAAAAGCGTGCAGTAATGGACAGTGTTTTATATTGGAACATGCCAATCGCTGCTAATGGGCAATGCGCGACAGAAGACTCCGCTTGCACAGAGACCTGCGGTTCACTTTTAATCCATCAGTATTTTGTTATATCTCATTACAATATAATGAGGTTTGAGTGTAGTTAGCTCGCACGCTGCGAGTTTTTATAATTCAGCAAAGCAAAGGAGAAATCTCCCACTGGCACTACATTGGAGGTTAAAATCCAATGCCTATTTACACTGGTTGGCCAGTGAACGATTGTGCAGCTCGAGCAGTCAGTATTTTTTTTTTTTTTCAATCAAGAAGACACTGCCTGCTTTCGCAGTGAGAGAGGGGGAGCATAGGAGAGGAGAGAGAGTAAGGGAATGCACATGCAACGAGTGTGTAAACGCTGCTGCGAGGGATGCCTTGAGAAGAGAGGGGGGAGCAAGCGTAGGCTGCACTGTCTGCGTCTGCATTGCGAGTTGAAACAGCGGAGAACGCAGGAGAGGAGACAGAAAAGAGGGGACGTGCATGTGGATTGTGGGTGTAAACATCGCTGGGAGAGATGCCTAGAGGGGAAAGAGGGCGGAGCGAGCGTTGGCTAGCAGACGCTGGCCTGCATCGGCATTGCGAGGCTAGAAAGGAGGAGCACAGGAGAGGAAAAAGGAGGAGCGGTGTGCTGTAAGGGGGGTCACGTCGTACACTGAATTTAGCTCGGACCTAAATTGGTTCTCACCTAAAAATAAAGTCACTTTGTAAATTCTGAAGCGTCTTCAATAAAAGCTTGTGCCCCTTCAGATGGAGTAGGTCAGATAAAAGCGCGATGTGCCCGCCTCTCTTCTTGTATGATTTGGGCGACGAAATACAGGTGACGTATAGTCAGGGCACCAACGTCACTGGCCTCTGTCGGTGCACCCACAGCTTGCACCGTTTCAGGACAGGGGTAGATGTCGGTGACCGTGAGTATGAGACATTAAAGGCTTTCTCCCTCAAATACTCACTCCTGCGGTATGTGTTCCCGAAATCTCACGAACTCCTGCAGGGCCATGTACAGCTCGAACAGGGCTGCACCCATGGAGATGTGTTCCTGCGAAAGCTCCTGAGCCGCTGAGTCAATGGCGTTCACCTGGCCACACACCTCTTGCACCTTGGCCGGAAGCTCGGCGCCAGCCTGCGTCAGAACAGGTGGGTGATGGCGTGACGAGATACCCACAATATCCTACGTGTTGTGTGAAATGTCGCGTGCCTGTCCTTACTACCACTGCGTGTCCACAGACACGACTCAAGATTCTACTGAAGATCTCTGCGACAAAGACTAATGTGTCATCGACTCGCTGAGGTCACTATTAGGCACAATGCGCACACTTCTCACTGGATTGACAGCCCCCTCAGTTCGAAGTGCAGAGCAAGTTTCGGATATCTTGGAGCCAGTCCTTGCAAGCAACTTTAACATCAAGGATTACAGTGTATCTCATTTAAAACAGTCGAAGCCCAGGCTTCGTGACAGTTCGCAGTTTCATGACCTTCTGAACATGCACGATACACAATTGCCATGCGTGAAAATATATTACTTGTCCACTCTTTCGCTCTGCCTTACTCCCTTTTCTTCCCTTTTCTCCCCCCTCTGCCGTGTAGGGTAACAAACTGGGTGTGACCTGGTTAGCTTCTCCACAATTTTTATTCATTTTCTTTAAGTTATCTTGCTCTCAATACCTATTTATTGAGGGTGCCATCAATATAGTTGTGACACGAGAGCATGTTGGTGAGGTAATTGCTTTAGAACCTAATCAAACGCATTGCTGGGTGAGTTGATCTATCATTTGAAAACAAAAAAGTAGAGCATAAAATGACAGGACAAAGAAGACCAAGTACACGGGAATGTTTTCAATAACACCGTGGTGCTATATTGGGCTTCGGGCGTTGACTCTAGACAAGTTTTCGAGGCAGCTGAGATGAAGAGGGGTGACTTAATTGTGGTTAGTGCTTCTTCTATTGCCTTGACAAGCAAGAACCGAACTTTTTGGAATGTGCGCAAGTGACAGTCACATGATGCACACCTTGGTACTTCTGTTGACTCTATCGGCATGATGCCTAACTATGTCTTCTCCTAGACACCTGCCGGCGCATACACTCTGGATACGTGTTAGCATGAATGAACTCTGCAAAGTGAAAGCATGATCTTGTTTGATTGGTCTCTTATTCTTGCCCTGTTTTATTCTTGCCCTGTTTTTTCTTTCTGGAGGTTACATCTATATATTTGGTGTTCCCTTCAAATAAAACTTCAGTTGAAAGTCACGCTTGTCTTGCGTCCTTCGTTCGTCTTATGTACATGCCTTTAGCGCTTACATAAGTTATAGTGCATTGGGCTGGTTGTTTTGCCATGATGGACACAAAGTACAGCTCTAAGGTCGAGTACGAAAAAAGGTGACGAACATAGAACAGCCTATGATGCTTTCTGGTTCCGCGTTCGCAGCTTTGCGCATGTTCAAACTGCAGATGGCAAGGCAGGCTACTTAGAAGGAGTCGGCTATTCAACAATAGTTCCACTATGTATTACACTATACCCTGTACACAAATGCTAAGAAAATCTCAAAGGTGTCATAAATATTTCTCTACTTTTGTAGAGCATGGCAAGCCTGAAGTAAATGTTTAGGTGGCCTGAGCAAAGACACAGACTCTGTTAGTACAGGTAAGATGCAACGCTGCTTTAAATCATTCACGTTGTGTGGGCAATTTTTTGGGTACACAACGAGGAACATGCTTAAAAAATACCATTCTAACATTGAAAGCATGCTCACAATGATGTTTTGATTGTTTTAATGATTGATTGATGCATTATCTAATTATACAGTTGATTGGCTGAATGGAAGGTTATGAACATTAGCAAACAAATGCTTGATTCATTATTCCTTCCAGAAACAAAGTCCTAAGTGGAGGTGTACCGCATTTTCTGTCACACTATGTATTGCTTCTCTGTAGAACATACAGAGAGAGGATTTTGAGACAAAGGCCTCAGATAACTCATCAAACGCAAATTCAACCATCAATGTCAGCCTCTCGTGGCACAGGAGACAAGTGATACAAAAAAAAGCTCTCCTCATGTGATGACATCACCTTATGACATCACGATCCCGCTAAGAGTCACCAACGCATTTGCTTTCATTATAATATCTTAATGACATCATAGTAGCATCACGTGACGTAACGTCACACGATAACATCATTCTTAACTTGGTCGAAGGTGGACCGATCACACAGGTGATGCAAACCTAGGTGCATCCGATCTTGGAAGCAGTGCAAAACGACGCTATAGATGCAGAAAGCCTTTAAAGATTGACGAAGACTGTTTGCTATGTTGACTGAGAAGAAAAAAAGACGGCTTATGATTCAAGTCCTCTTAGCCTGTGTTCCCATTGTAGACATCATCGTAGACAGTCCAAGCTGACTGCTTCAGAGACAGCGTTGAGCAAATGCTGTCCGAGAAATAAAAGTCATCTGGATGGCGTCTATGCAACGAGACGCCACCTCGGGTCAATAAGAGAAAGCTTAGATAAATAAATGTAACTGCTATTTTTGTAGCTTATTTTGTGTTCAAATCTGAAAAACTGAACTTAATGTCAAAACTGAACGTTACTGACATTGAGCGTCTGGAGAAGCAAGCGTCTGCTTGTATGCAGGCGACTGTTAAAGCGACATTCGAGCTATCTGAGCAATTCACCTAGCCGCCATATTGCTTGGAGAGCAAAGTAGCCTGCATTGTTTTTGTCTATGATGTCGTCCTCTCGAAGCTGTCTATTTCGCCGGCTACGCGAGAATCGAAATGGGACTTTAGATAGGCGTCATTATCTTAGCTGCCAATTCTATCGTTTATAGTAAGTACATTGGAACACACCTTTAAGCAAATGCATGAAGAACCAAGAAACTTTAGGGGCAAAGCTTCTTAAGGCATGGGTTGTGCGTCTCTTGTATGTACTAGTAGCCACCTCTCGTTTAGTCCTTGGAATGTCCGCTGTATGCGGTACTTCTATATGATGCATATATGATAAAAAGATGAGAGATGGTGGCACTTGGAGGGTTCACTAGATAGACAAACGGACAGACAGAAAGACGACGGAGAGACAGACAGACGGATGAACGGACAAATGCACAGATGAAAGCATGGACGGATGGGTGGACAGAAGCGTAAATGCCCAGATGGACACTCGGACGAACGGACTGATGATCGCTTGGACAGACTCACGGACGGTCACACGGGCGGAAGCAAAAACAAACGGATGAACAGAAGCATGAATGAACTGACGGATGCACGACAGATGACAGACTGACAGACGCTTCGCCCCGCTCATTATAATTCACTCCATGGATATGCTGTGAACCTTTTTTCTATTTCAGGGGTGCTGAAACTTTCATCAGTGAGCACTTTGTACATGTGCTCAAAAAAAGACATTTCATGTTTTTAATGTGGTAGGCTTTTACAGAGTACCTATACACATTATGCCAGCTGGTTTGAAAGTTGCACACTGTTCAATTGTGAATAAAAATAAAAAGGTACAGCAAGTCCACATTACGTAGCTTTGCAGGAGTGCCATGCTATTAAAAAAGCTCCCAAAGAAATGCAAAAGCCAGAAACAGCCACCTACCTCCGGACAGAGTTTCCTGGCGACACGTTCTCTCAACTAAAGCAGCGTGCAAGCAAGAGACAGATGGCAGTGATGAAAGCAGCATAAAAGTATGTGACAAGGAAGAATGTGAAGCGCTTCAAAAAACCGACATGGAGTCACATCACCGTATTAGTTATCAATCAAAATTTGACAGGCATATGTCAGATATTTTATGAACTTGGCGGTTCTCTGTCAGCGTTATTGAAATAACCTGCCTATAGAGCATTAACTCAATTGAGCATTGAACGCTACACGAGGTACTGAATTTCTGACCAAGCATTTTTTAGCTGATTTTATAATTGCTAAATGGGCTATAAATGAATATATTATTAGCTGCAGGGACTTGTCACAGTTTAGGCTTTGACAATCCGTAATTTATACCCCAAAACATTGTGCATGCTACTAAAATGAACGTAAAAAATTTATTGTTTTGAAAGCAACATCCTGCTTAGTTCATTTCAAACTAAAAAAATTTAGAATATGAAAAAATTCTTATGGCATAAAACTGAGAACTTGGGGCAGGCAACACTTCGCAACAGACTAGCCGCTGACCAAGAGATAGAGAAGGTGCTTGAATACCGGTAATACATAGGCAGATGTGCGGACACTGGAAGAAATCTTAGTTATGGTGCACACCACTCGCCCTGGTAATGAAATACGTACCAAGCATCAGTGACAGTGACTACATTGCCTATTTAGGCGGACATAGCAATCCTAACGTTTATTCAGTATCGAGGTAGCATAGCTGTGCAAACAAGAATCACAACACAACAAAGATAATAACCGCATTGCGTCAAACTTTCTTGACAATTCGCCATCTGACCAGCGGCCGCCTTTTGTTGAGAACTCCCAGTTTTCTTTTCTACATTTTATTTTACTGAAACATTTATTATAGCAAACACACGAGCATTATTTTGTATTATTATTATTATTATTATTATTATTATTATTATTATTATTATTATTATTAATATTATACCCACATCTTGCAAAAGCGAGTGCTATCATTGACATGAAGTGCTACAATATTTTTCATTTAATATCCCTTCCGTAAAATAAGATTCAACGTGACACCTACCAGTTTCTCCAGCTGCTTGTACACAACTGCCGTGTAGTTTACGCCCACATACCTGAAAAAAAAAATCTGGTTTTGAACAGGTCTGAAGTGCAAAGCACCTTGACTAGGAGCAACGATAATAGTAGCGAAGTAAACTCATCATCAAGATCCCATGAACTTTTATAAAAAAAGATAATTTATAATACGCAAGCTCTGCCACATTGCAGACTGCATGAGGTTGCACACTTGAAACTTCCATCTCTTTCTTTCAAATATCTCCCTCGTAATTTTTTTCCTCATTGTCAGTGAGAGGTCTACCCAATCTTTTTAATGCGTGCCGAAAACACGGTGATTCCCCTTTCAATCTTTAACATCTCATGAAGCACCATTTTAAACAGTAGCTATGACTGCAAAACCAATTTGCCATTGATTTCTGTGTCATGATTATAATTCACTCTTATGCTCACTGCAGAAGAAGAGCCATTCCCAATGATTTCTATATAACTATTGAGGTTTTAGAGTGCAAACCATTATGCAATTATGAAGCACGCTGTACTGGAGGGCTCTGAAAATGTCGACCATCTCGTGTTCTCAAACGTGCACTGTCAAATGGACACGCGGGCTTCTGGCGTTTGGTTCCATTGAAATAATACCGAGGCAGCAGGGATTCCATTCCGTGACCTTCGCGTGAGCTCTCGGGCACTGCCTAGGCCACCACTAGGCCTCGCGCTTAGCAGTGTAGCACCATAAGAGTTCATCTATGATGGAGTGTTAATTGATGAAGAAAATGACACTTACGTTTCAAAGACTGCGTTGTAGTACTTGATGCCCTTGTGCAGGTCAGCATTGAGAGCGTTGGTCAGTTCGGTTAAACTGGCCAGTACAGTCTGTTCCGTCTGTAAGAAGTTAAATTCATCAAAGCTAAAGTAGCTGTAGTAATACTGTGCAAAACATTAAAATGCAAGTATTTTATATCGTTACTTTCTCATGTAGTTGTTTGGAGGAAGGAACTCAGTCATAGCGCTAAAGCATTTCAGCAAAAAGAATTACGTTCATCTATTACTTTATTCGCTTATTTATTTATCACTATACTTATTCACAAATTTAGTTATTTAATCATTTATTTATTCAGTCATACATACTGCAACCTAACTTAGAACATATCAGGGTGGTAGATAAACAAAAAATAAAGTGCACTTGGGCAAAAAATGGCAAACACAGGAAATGCAGTTCTAACAGGTCACACTATAGTTTAGATCGAAGTTTCTTTGAACCAAAAATTTTGGGGTCACTGCTTTGCTAGGCAGGTTCATCCAATCGTTTTCTGTACACGGAAGGAAACAAGATATAAAGAAATTCACTCTTTAAAGGCTTGGTGAAATTCTGATTCTATAACAATGATATATGGTGTTTATTGACACAAGTGACAAGGTCGACAGCCGGGCTAGTTGTTGTGGTTCCTTAATATTGCAAAGCACGCTTCTTAATTTAGTTTTTTTTTTTTTTTTTGTTTCGTTCAGTTTTCACCCATAAAGCCTACAGGCATTCTCAGCGCAAACTGCGCCTCATTGTTCAAGAAGGTTTGCAATTATTGTATATCACACTGTTAAGATTGCAGGCAAGAGGAGAACACTGGAGATTATTCCAACGCTTACGCGATGACAAGTGATACAGTTGGAATATTCGACGGCACATGTATTCATGCGGAAGCGCTTTGCCGCTTCTCAGTTGATCGAGGGCCGACGCTCAGTTCACCCCAATCAGTGCCAGTGTGTATCACTGTAATCTGACTTTTCGCTGACTGGCCACAAGTTCGGCCAAATAAACAGTTTACTCTTCAACCAACAGTCTGCTCTGTTCGTCGATGCCACGACTACTCAATGTGGGGCAAACTATATCACAAGAAGAAGACAAAATGCTTACTCGCCACGACTGACAAGTTTATTCAAATAAATATGAAGAGAAAACATACAATAAAAAGACCCAGATGAAATTCTCAATGAAAATGTTGCCAAAAGCACGAAAGCAATGAAAAGCAGCGTTGTAAGTGTGTCCTCCATGTCTATAAAATGCGCTACTTTGACTGGTACACAAGCGACATTTGGTGGCCAAAGAGACAGTATATGAGACAAAGGTTGCAGGCTATGAGTACGGTAACTGGCTATAGAAGGGCCTAAAATTTCGCGCTAAAGGTGGGTAAGACATAAGGGTATTGAGTCACGTGAGTGACATGAAACGTGCGAGGCCAGATTCTCGTTGGAAGTGTAGGATTCTAGCTGTGTAGCCTGTAGATGGTACCAAGATATGTGATGTGTTCTTTGTGCAGGGACCATTTATCAGCCGATTAAAAAACTTCTGTCAACAAACACAGTTTCTTGCAGCAACTGGTTTATTTATTTATTTATTCATTTATTGATACTGCAGGCCGCAATTGGGTCCAAGCAGGAGTGGGGGTGTTACAGAGCCGTTAAACCAATTATACAATCTTTAGAGATAAAAACAATAAACAGGACAATACAAATTATTTTGAAAAACACTGTGAAATAATCATACAAAATTTACCAGTCAGACATTTGATCAATAAAGTTCAGCATATTATCGGATGAAAGAATTTTATGCGGAAGGTTATTCCAGTTAGTTTCACTCACATGAACCATTTTTGCGGATTCTAAACAAACTTCTTTGAAACTGATGAGGCACTTGTAATTTGTTCTGACCGACACGTCACCACAAAACATGCCAGAAATTTTTATCACTAGAGCAGAATGACGAAACCTTCCCAGCAGCTTTGAGAATGCGATGAGCGCTTTCCTGTTGGTGCTGTAAGCAGTGCATCTGTTTATGAACTCTACGAAGCCTGATTTCGAAGTATTCGTATTCAAACAACACTTTCACTATAATAAAATCATCAACGAATCAAAATGTTATATTTTCAAAACATATCATGTATTTTGTGTATCTATTCAGGGAGCTTGTGGCATAAGTATTGTGGCATAAAAATCTTGTGGCATAAAAAATGTACATTAAAGTTGGGGCTGTATTGTCCTGTATGAGGCTTGTTCTTTAAACAGGAATCTTGGATACATTGTTTAGAGCATATTTATGTGCGTTTCGATTCTAATAAACATTTCTTATTCGTTATACACCCTACAGACATTGTTTAGGGTGCAGCAGGTCCATGACATTGTCGATACGTTATTTGTTGACATTCTGTGGCCAAAACGCCACACATAGTTTGGTGCTAGGCCTTGTGACCACCTCAACTTGCATTCTATGGTTGGCAACTTCATATTAAGTCACTACCCCGGGCCACCAGCTTCATTTGTTAGGATGAGCTATTAACTATATCATGCTCACTCACCAATACTAATGGTTGATGGAGGGCGTGGGTGCACCGGAACCAGTCTGCACAGCCTTTCTGTGAAACCGAAGAACACATGGAGTGCTAAATTAGACTTTTATTTCTTATTAGACTCAAGTTATCAATTAGAGTTTTTGCACTGTTGAAACAAGACATTTTTTTATACCATACTGCTGTAAGATTTTAGTACTTTGCAGAGCACTCATTGTTAGCCCTGTTGGTGTTTGCTGAAGATCATGCATTAGCACGAACATGAATACAAAGAGACATGGACACCTACAACAAAGTGTCTGCTGTGTGATACACTTGTTTACTCATTTGGAGCAAGCCAAATAAAGAAAAAATAAATACATACTGTCCTAAATGAAAACTCCTGTACATGAATTTTTTAATAAAGGATATCACTCGTGGTGCTTCGAAGCACTACCGCATGAATACCAGTCATTAGGTAGAGGGGTGGATGCACATTAAGTTGTGTGCACCCTTAGCAGCTGAATTGTCTCATGATGTATTACTGAACTTGATAATAAACTTTCGAATTGCATTGTCTGCGATCTTTATTATGGCAATTATTATAGTAACCACTTTTCTTCTATGAATTATTATTAACACACCTGTGAATCTCTATTCTAGAACCATTCTTGAGTATCTGGGCCATTCAAGCCACTAAATTTCATTGTGAAAATGCTGGGCATGTGTGTAAGCGTAGCGGCCAAGTGAGCGCGACTGTGTACTTCACCAGATCTCACAATATGGTTAAAATTGCAAGCAGGGTTGACAACGTTGCTCCTTAATAATTACCAAACTCTATTACCAAATAAAACTGCCAGAAAGTAATCATATTCCGATACTATGTATTATACATTATATCATATATAGGTATTTACCTACTTAGAAATTCCTTTATTAATGCTTAGCCAAGCAGTGTGCCTTTTCCTCATTCTCATTCATTCTCATTCACAGGCATGATGTTTGGCGTGGAGACTAACTTATTAGGTTGATTTTCATATCTTTACTTTTTTGTTTGGCCAAAATTTTAGGGTACAATTGCAGCGGACACTTCACTGAAAAAAAAATTTAAAAAGAAGTGAGTGGTTTGCATGCAATTACGTGTACGAGATTATTAACATGTTGCTAAATTATGACCACGGGAAAACACCTCATTTCATTATTCATTGTAGTGAAAGCTAACTTATATACCTTATTTCTAATATCATTATTGCGCCACATAGAAGTCTGAGTACCAGCGTGTGTCTTACCTTGAGCGTGTTCGTGATCTCGACGGTGAGCTGGTTTCTGAAGGGGCAGGACCATTGGAACGCCTTCATCGAGTAGATGAGTGCTAGGCATCTGCAGCATGCATGATAGTACACGAGTTAATTTGCATTTTGTCCACAACATGTGACCAAACAGTGGCAACAGCTGCTGAATTGGCTGTTCTAGATTTTCTCAAAAGCACTTGACTGGATACTAAGCAGTAGGGTACTATACTAAGTGGCTGCGGTACATACAAACAACCTTTCTGTCTCCATCATCACCTGTCATGCTTGTTTTCCCCCATTCCTTTATCCTTTTTGTAGAGTAGCAGACCAGTGCACATTAGCTCAAGCCGACCTCGCTGCCGTCTGATAAATTCACACAGCTGCTATTGCCGTGACGCATAGAGTGGTTTATAAGCGAAGGCATGTTCAATAAGGCTGGTATTCTCTAAAGTTGAGCAGACATATTTAGCAAGACTGCCTAGAACAGTGGGAAGCTCTTCAAATAGTACTTCTTTTTGTGAAACGCATCACGATTGCTTTTTAATATTGCATGAAGTTTAAATGACAATGACGTCCTTTGCTCGACTGCAAAGGACGTTGAAAGATAATCTTCTGTCAGGGGTTGCTGCATCAGATGTGTATACCATCTGGCAGTAATGTAGAGATAAAGTCTTTTTTAATACTCTGAGCAACTGGTAGGTTGCAGCACCACGTTGTTCTAGCAAAGCGTAGGAAATACCCACTTTTTGTTTCACACATCACATTGTCAGCGTGGCGTATTAACGCCAAGGTCTTCAGAACGTGGTATTATTGAGATAGCAATTATATGGACGCCGTCGGCTGGACGTTACCGCCAGTTTCGCCATCACTCATCGTATATGTATATGTATCTATATATAGGAAAACGCAAAAAAGCAAAAAAATAATCCAGAAAAAGACTGAAACGTGGCATCGAACCTGGGACCTCTGAATTGTAATTGCCAGGCATCAGCCACTGGTTCACCAAGGAGCACCTCCTTCAACTTTCAAACGGCAAGCTATATATATCTACCACTTACCGCTGGTGACGAGCATCTCGGGGGGAACTATCGTGTTTCCAGCATTACCAGTGAGATGGCGCAATGAGCACGCACTGCCACATTGTCATGATGCGTCGGTGCATGCTCTCATCTCCCACGCGTACTTTACCTCGTTGAGAGGGGGCAGGGCAGACCTCACGCAAGCGCTTATCTTGCAGTGGGGACAATCGTACATCTTGGCTGATATCGGGCTTTAACCGAAACGATTCTGTTGTAGTTATCGGGAGCACAAAGGTCACTGCAATCTTTTCACAGTCTCTGTTTACGAAAAGGGCACGCTTTTCAGACACAGCAAAGTAACAACTGATACACTTATTCGCATTCATCTGCAACTATGAGTACCTTTTTTGCATCATTTGTGCGTTAGAAACGCGGTGCACATTTCGATCTGCTTGCCATTCTGCACGTGACTTTCCAGTTTGTTGCTATCGCGTTCATTGCTTCGCCTTTGCGGCAAAGCTGTGACTTTTTTCTGCATTTCCTGAATAAAGACACATACTACCTTATACTTACATAGTGATGTTGTGCCCATATATGCACAATATTGGCTTTTCGATATGCAATGCTCCCTAGTATCAATGCAGGCAGGAGATCAAGATGCGTGTGCATTCAGCAAAAGGCTAAACTTTCGCTCGGGCAGCTAAATCGATTAACCGAGAGACAGACAGATAGACAGACAGACAGACAGACAGCAGACAGACAGATAGACAGACAGACAGACAGACAGACAGACAGACCATTATATCTAAGTTAAAGTATCACAAGAAAGACTATGGTCTTTATAAACATGTAGCAACCTCTTGTCGAGTTTCTTTTGTTTTTATCCAAGTTTATACCACACACTCATGAATCAATCTTTCGATCCAGTTCCCGCAGCATCAGAGAGGCACACAAGAAGTTCATTTATAGCAGCAGTTGTTCACTCACTTGAGCAGGTGGACCAGCTTGTGTTCGGCTTCCTCGTGGGTCAAAGGGAACAGGTCCCGGTGCTTCTGGAAGCAGCTCCAGGCAGTAGTCGATGAACACGTTGAAGGACTCGGCGAGGCAGGCCTCCTACGCAAGAAGGTCAGCAGTGAGATGAAGGCAATCCCGTGAGAACACAAAGCACGACCTCGAATGCGCAATCGAGGGACCTCGCACCGCATCCCTGTAGTGCGAGTGGGCTCGGTGCGAACTCCCGATTAATGAAGCGAGACCTCCAATAACTGGTTCGACAAAAGACGAAGCCGCTGCATTGCTCTAATTTGTCAAGGGGTTGTGATTTGGCCAAACCCTTCAGTTGTTTTTCTGTCTGGCTTTGTCTAGTGTGAAACATTCTGTATTGAACAATGAAGGCTGTCAAAGATTTTTGCATTATTATAATGAACAACTTTCAGAGTTAAAACTGGGACGAAATTCTCAAGTGACGTCAAGTAACACATAAAAGCTAAATGGTGAACAGGAGTAATTGTGCATTTCGACATTCGTTAATGTTTGAGAACAAAGCGTGTGCTTCGTGTGAAACCTTTTTTTGTGTGTGTGTATTGCCCGCATATATGATCAATGCTGTGTAGCGTTTAGTAAGCGCTACCGAATTCGCAGCATGTATGTACTTACAATGATGTAATGCAACTAGTATGTCAATAAAACTAGGTCTCTATCTTTAATAAATCCTTAAGGACGTACGATAACTCCCGCTAGAAAATATCGCAACAAGTTTTGTTCACCTCGATTTGTAATTTTAAAATAATTGTCCATATTATATGACTAAAGTAGTCCTTTTTAACTATGTTTTTTAAAGGTGAGGAAAAGAACAATACGCAAACGAAAAGCTTAGCTTCACAGTGTTGTTTTTGTCATTGTGAATGTTCAACACGATCCAACTTACTCGACCAGAAGTTTCTTCAAGTAGTGTGCAACCACGAGGTGGTACATACACAAATTTTAAGATCGATGTTTACGCTTTACCAACATCTGAAGAACATATAATAGCATTTGCACAATTTGCTGAACACATATTTGTAAGTGACACCCCTTTTACTGCTAACTCACAGTGTTTTGTGCAACATTGCAGAATTATTAACATAATTCCTTCAGTGCACTACTATTTGGTTGATTAGTAAAAAGAGAGAGAGTTCATGCTAGACAATGCTTATTTGAATGCGCTAGTAATTATTACCCAGAAAGTTGTGACATGTAAAAATGTGAAAAATATCTCGAAATTTTAGACGTGTCAGTGGAAAAAGAACATTCACTATGCATAGAATGCTACATGTTATGCTCTGCGCACCTGCTGGTACAGATCCAATGTGAAAAGAAATAATCAGATGCATTTTGAGGAAAGACGTAAAGAAGGTACGAAACCCGTGAGTATAAAAAACACGCGCCTCTGTTGTCTCTCCGGCCCGTACTGGTTCGCCGATGAATCCTGGCAAGAACAGGTGACGTCATTCATCGGTGAACGCAATCGACAGTTGCGCTAAGATTGCAGTGCCGCAATAGCACGCAGTCCATCCCTTAAAAATGCACGACGCAGGCGAACCATCTCCCAGTGCTGTTAGTGCATTTTCCCGTTCAGCAATGAAAATGTGCAATAAACGTTCCGAGGTGATAAGTACTGAAGTAGTGAAGAGGATGTGAATATGGCGGTATTGCGTAAAGTGAAGCACATGCTTTAATGAAGGCATCTGAAATATACTGAGTCAGAGTGGGAGAAGAGCAGAGAAGCAGTTGAAGACACATAGATGGCGATGCAGTCTGAGTCAAAGGTTTGCAAGTGTTCAAAGATTGCAAGAGACGACAGATGTGAGAACAGCCATCAGGTGTGGAAAGAACAGGAAGCTCACAGAAGAAGAAATGAGCTTTGATACAATAGACAGGGTTGTTTCTTATAGGCTCACTTCTTTCTTCGACAACCTCGGAGTCGTGTCTTCCTTAACTTCAGCTTGAATCACAAGCCTTTCGCGTATTGGAATGTCTTGGTTTGGGTCCTAGAAGAAAGAAAAAACATATACAACTAAAAACATAAGCAAGCAATATGTGCTATCCGGTTTGGTTGTAGCAGCAAAACTTTCACGCTTGAAGCAGCAGCTCGCTGAGGAGGCACAAGCCAGGTCTGTGTAGAAGGCGGCAAAATAAGTGGCAATGAAGGCCCAGGGCCCAGCCAAGAAATTTGCACTTCGTCCCTCATAATTGCAAGCATACTGTGACCAAATGCTGACAGTGGATATCTTCTTTGTATGAGTACCAAGAAGCCCACCTACCCACCATTTTGAAATATATCTGTTTTCCTGCAAACTCACTTACCGTCTGCCACTTAGAACAGGTGCAGCCTGCGTAAAAGCTCCTGGCCAAAGCGAAGCCGGAAATGGGATAGTAGGCGGCGACAGCTTCAGAAATTGGCGTCGCTGATCTTCACATAGCCAAAAAGACAGAACGGTTCGAAAAACCGGCGTATCTTGCTTTTATTTGTGTTTCTTGCTTTTCAGCAGACATGAAATGATCGTACGATGTGCATCAGCATGCTGTCAGGCACAGGAAAAATTTCTGAACACTCTATATTAGTGTGCTTGGGGAAAGGTACTTATGGGTGAATGTAGCATTTTAGCATGCGCTTTCCTTATGAAGCAAAGTTTTGCCTCTGCGCAGTCATTGGCTTACTCACATCGATAATGCGCTAAATGCTTCTGGCTTGCAGACTTCGCACTTTGATAGCAACAAAAAAATAAGCACGCTCACCATTTTGAAGTATCTTCAGTGCTTAGACTACTGAGCTTGCTGGTACACAAATGCGAATTAAATCTGGCAGTAATCGAACATAAATGCTGGGGCATTATGCCACTCACATAAACAGAATGTGCAAGCTCACTGCATGAAGCATTTGCACAAGTACATCCCACCGGAATCTGGTTCTTTTGAAGACGATAACAACTTCTACAAAATTCTTTTTCTGCAAATAAACCTAAATATAGCCGTTGCTTCATTGAATAGCGCATGAGGAAACTTCTGCAAGCACAGCAAGCAGAGGCAGTCAGGGTAGTAGCACGTTGACTTTCAGTTCTCCGGTGCTTTTCTCCATATTCCAATGCCACAAAGATTCAGATATTTCAATTTTTATAAGTCGCACCTCTGCAGCGTCGACGGCCACGAGCTCTCGCTCTTCTTCCAATCGTGGAACTTGTCTTTTCACACCGGCACGCAAGGATGACCAACTGCTTTTGCGCTTCTTCCAAAACTTCACGAACTTCCGCTTGATGCCTGGATGCCTGTGCTCCTTCTGGTGACCCGCAAGCTCGGTGGGCTGAAACTCGACGCTTATTTCTGTCACGCAGGTGTCACCACTGCCGTAGTCTTCGTCCACGTCATTAACCAAGACAGCTGCGGCTGTCCGTGTTCCCCCGATGACAACTGCGTCCTATATAAACATTCTAGGCGAATTGATAGTTGTACGTAATGTAAATGATGCGCAGATAAAACGGTACATTGGAACCAAAAGCATGGGGCCCATAATGATGCCAACACACTTATGTTTAAGTATATTTAAAAGCACACCCTTCACCCCCCCCCTGGCTATTGCGGGTAGAGTCCTGGTGTGCGTAACCTATCGTGTTCACTCTGACGATGCACGTACCTTACCCCCTCTGACTTGCGTGCGTACTGCCAACCTACATTGGCACTGGCTCTTGTCAGCTGTGCTGGCTGTTGGACGATGAATAGCCCTTGAATTGTGGCTAATGTTGGCTTTTCTTGGGTACTTCTGGTAGGGTGGCTCCTTCTGGCCAGTCTATTGACTCATCTTGGTTATATATGATGGCTAATAGCATTCAGTTGTGGCTTATGTTGCCTAAATAATAGGATTGTTAGCTCATATGAGGCATCGTGTTCCAGTGGCTGTTTAGCAGCCACACTGCTTTCATAAACTTCCAATGTGATGATACCCCCCTATGTGCTCACACAACACCTTGTGTTAGTTCTGCCTGACATTCTACTATATCCTAATATATGTTACTTTACCTCAAAACCGCCTTTCGCTGAACTTTATGTCAAACCTCGTTAGTGAGTATACCCGCTTTAAACGTTCTAATGGTCAAAACGTAGCTGCGACGAACCTCCGACCGAGTCTCATAAAGACTAATAATGCATTGTTCGGATTATGCCTACCGCTTATTGCGTGCTAACTGCGTACCGCGTAACTTAGAAGTGCGGCAGCTTGGGCTGGTTGGTATGACATGACGATAGTTATAGGGCGAGAACAAAACGATGACACAAAGACAAGTCATCATGTCCTTTGTCTCTGTGCGGTCGTTTTGTTCTCGCGCTATAACTATCGTCATGCGTACTGCAACAACATTTTGTGCCGCTGAACTTGCAGACGTGACAGTCCGCAGTGAACGGTTTTCCGTGGTGCCGAGATCAGACGATAAAGCTACTCCAACTTCCGCGCGATTGTGCCGATGATCGACATTGCGATCGAGTAATCATCGGGGGGAAAAACGAAAGCGAGGTGGCGACCACCGACCAAACGCGCCGGCATGACTTATCGTCAGCGAAAAGCCTTATCACAGTAAGCATCCCCGGTTAACTGATCGGGCATGCGTGGGGCGTAGCGTCACTTTAGGCCTACTGCACGCTTTTAGTAGGTGCGCATGACTACCTGAACCCGCTGGGCCACCAATCGCTGCCGCTTTGTTTTGCGAGACCGTCTTCAAGCGCGCACCGCTTTACAGAAACGCAAGCAGCTCGCTGTCGCGGAGTTTAGCGTCGGGGTTCGAGGACACCAAGAAAGCTTGCTGCCAACACGCTCACCGTACAGCGAGCGTGGCGCTGTTGTTACCATGCTGCACGCTTTTATTTAGCGACAACCCAAATGCGTCTCCGTCCGCTGCCAGGACTGCTAGAGCATCGCGGAAAGCACATCACTCACGGAAAGCTCTTCGTCGCCGCGTTAACCCAGCAGGCTACTCGCCGAATCTGTGCGTGGCCTGAAGCGGCGAGGGTACTCACACAGCAAGCGGATCGGCAGTCACGGTGTGTGCAGAGTGAGCGAAGCGCTGCACGCAAATAGCTATGCAGTAAATGATTTAGTTCTCTGCGATTGTACCACGTTAAAAAAAAAAAAAAAAACTGCGTCAGTTTTTTTTTTTTTTTTAAGAAGCTTACCGAGGAAAACTCTATCACGGATAGCCGATTGTGTCCGTTCTGTCACTGTACCACGCTGCGCAGCCCGGACACCGCTGTTCGAAATGATCATGCCGGCGTGCTATTGGGTGATTTTGGCCCCGCCACGGTGGTCTAGTGGCTAAGGTACTCGGCTGCTGACCCGCAGGTCGCGGGATCAAATCCCGGCTGTGGCGGCTGCATTTCCGATGGAGGCGGAAATGTTGTAGGCCCGTGTACTCAGATTTGGGTGCACGTTAAAGAACCCCAGGTGGTCGAAATTTCCGGAGCCCTCCACTACGGCGTCTCTCATAATCATATGGTGGTTTTGGGACGTTAAACCCCACGAATCAATCATTGGGTGATTTTGTGCGAGTCAGAAACTTTTCTGTACTTAGGCAAACATAAATAAATAGCTTCGCGGTGGCATTTCAGGCAATATTTTCCGTGGAACTGAGCTTCTTTTTTGTTGGCTGCGATGGCGCATGTCAGCTGATGCAGATTTGTAGCTGGTAGTTGATGCGTAGTACGTTTAGTGCGTATATAGTTATGCCGCCGTCCCCGGCAGGTAGGTATTAACGGGGTTTCACTGTACCTGACTGATTTGTCCCTTTCTGATAGACGCTGTTGCACAGCTATCAAGCTTCCTCGGCCGGAGCTTTTCGACGTGCTACTAGTACCCGAAGATGGAAATCATGGTTACGTGGAGAACAACTATCTGTACCTAGGTGAAGTATCTTCTTTATTCGTAATATCCTGGGACCACATTGAAATAACGTCTTATGCTACAACTTTCGTAAAGGAATATTTCAACCAATTACGATGCGGGAGGAGGAGGAAGGGAGGACATAAAAAGCAGGGAGGTCAACCAGACGCGCGTTCGGTTTGCTACCCTGCACTGGCCGGGGGAAGGGGTCAAAAGGTTAAAGAAAACAGACAAGAGGTTAGACAGTGCCATCAGGGTACATGCGTGCCTGTCCATTTCACAATTACAACCGATCACTTAGTCCGGTTGGCCTTAAAAAAACCTAGCAATGCCCGCGACGCTTTGCTTACATGCGAGGTGTAGAGCCATGATACGAAGCTAGATCTTTTCAGCCGCGAAAATGTCTATCACCGAGCTTGTTTAGCAAAGTCGTGTTCACTCACAAAGCGATCACGGGAGCACAGTAGATGTTCTGTTGACTTGTCACTATCGCACGAGTCACACCTGGAAAGTACGCCTTCGAGAAAGCTACTGCTAACCACAGGCGGCAAACTAAAGCTGCGTCCCGGCGGGAGAGGCCCGATGGAACTTGAAGCTTCCCTCGTGGGTCCAATTTATGTAGGCGGCGTTTCTGACACTGGGTCAGACACATCATTAGCGCAGCCGGTTGACCAATGAGAAAACGCACCTAGGTTATACGAAGTTTTGTGAATTCAAACGCAGGTGAGCCCAAGTGGATAATCATCTTGCGTGACGAGGCGAAACACAAATTGACAACACGGTCAAGTACATCCGCACCTCTGCTGCAAAATGTCTTGTTTTAAATAGTTTTCTTATCCAAGGCTTAATAATTGCTCTAGGAGTCGGGATGGTTCAGCTTCAGAAAAACTCAACTACTGCGAGAATTTGAAGTTAACCGGCAACTATTTGCGATAAAATTCTTTGATATTGTCGCCACAGACCAACGACTTGTTCCTGAAATTGTGCCAGATGTCTCTCTATTGTGGCACAGTGAAACTAGCCGTGCTTCACAGTGCCAAAGTCGAGCTTGCTGCAACTTTTTTTTTTTTCAGTGACTTGAATGTAGCCGCAAAGACAGTGAGCCAAACAGACGATAAGCAACCAGTTGTGCACTAAAGATTTTCCTGCTGTGAAAAAGACACGGACACTAGGAAACGCGAGGCATTTCGCCCGGGGGACGGAATTCTCCCGCTACACACTGGTGTGAACCGGTCGCAATGGTTAGTTTCCGGTTGGCATGCGCAATCTATCACACAGCCTTGATCCCTGTGGTATTAACCCTTAGCTTCAATCTTGGATCCCACATTCTTATGAAAATCATGCAAGTCATTCACGGTGACACGTGGGGGCCGTAGAAGGACGTTCCCGGTAAATAGTTTTCTTTACCGCTGATTCTTCTGGGATAAATTGCACTATGAGCAATTGCCATCACCATCAGCTTTAAGTGGCAGGCGGTTACAAAGCCACTTCACTCAATCTCGCTCACCTCGTCCCTTGATAACGGTCGATCCGAGTCGTCCCAGGCACGGTCCAGGTCGTCCAGCAGCTGCCACAACAGCGCGTAGTCGAGGGAGACGGCCATGTGCTTTCGTGAGTACATCACCCATCGGCTGCGCATGTTGAAAAAAAAAAAAATCAGTGGTCGAACGGGTTTAGACAACGGTTGCCAAATGATAGCTACGTTGTGCTGGCTTTGGGAAAGCGCGGGACATTTGGTTTGCGCAGATGTAACTGTACTGCCTGTCTCGGTTTAGGCGTGGACGACGAGTCTAAATGCTTCGACTTCTAGCCATGACAAAGAAGCCAGCGTACTGCACTATATAAATAAATTATATATATAATGAGATATGCACCTGGCCGCAGCGGTGCGCTAAGCCACGCGGTGGGGCTAGATAGGCTTAAAATGAGGTGCTCCGAGTTATGAGGTGTCATGTTTTTGTCAGACAAACGACCATTAGCCTACATTCCCTGGATAAGTTAAACGAAGCGAGGGTGTTTCTCCAAAAAACCCTCGCGATCTCTATTTTTTTTTTCTTCGGCAATCTCAGCCTATCCTATCCACTCCTTTCTAAGACTGTTTTTCAGTGCCATCGCACCATATTTAATCCCACTGCTCTTTTTTATTTCCTCTTTATTACGGGGCAGCTCCCGTTTTTCACCGCCATAGAAGCCGTTAGCGTCGATACTAATCTAGCTGTGCGGAGGGCGAGCAAAGTACGAAAAAAAAAAACAAACGGGACGCTAACAAATACGGTATTAGCGAAATGCTACCAATCGCTTCTCCGTCTACGTTCACCCCCAACAAAAATGCACCCGAGCACTTCGGCGAATAACAGCCGCACCTGGAAAGGCCCTGGATAACCAACCACGAGGGTACGATAAACAACGTACATTTTCCTCGACTCCACCGCTGAACGATTACGGGGAGCACAGGAGCGTTAAGGTGTGAATATCAATTTTTTTTTCTCCCTCGAGAAGAGTAGGGGCCGGGGGGAGGGGGCTGCGTTTCCTGGGCACAACGGCGGAGGAAATGGGAATTAGAGATTCATCGATTCCCGCCTGAGAACAGGCAACAACGGCAAAATCAAGACCACAGATGGGTATGAAAAATGGGATATGGAAAAATGCGATATGAGGCATGTTCGCTGTCCTGATCTTTTTCTCGCGACGACTAATGCTCTCATATTCATTCGTATTTTTTTTCCTCGGTTGTTGTTGGTTTCTTTTTTTTTTACCTCTAGTGTCGATAATCGCTGCAACAACGAGAGACAAATTTATCCAGCGTTGCTGGATATGTAATGTAAGTGTGTGAAAGTACAGAAGAAAGAAAAAAGGAAAAAAAGAAGGAAAGAAAGAAAGAAAGTAATGTATTCGTGCCCAACAGCGGCTTCACAACAACGTCGATGGTTTTGGCACCGCGGTTGCAGAGGAGACGACGAGAGCAGTAGTGTATGCAGAATTTTTTTTTTTTTTTTTTGAGGAGAGCGGGCACCTCCTTGACCTCCATTGCGGTCCAGGCAGGCAAATGATGGGAATTTAGCGCAATGTATACTATGACAAAAAAAAATCGGGTGGGGGGTGTATTTTCTCAATCAATCAGTAATTTACACGGCGTGCAAATGACAAAACCTATTAAGTTATTACTATGTTGTTGCGGTGGTGTCGCGATAATACATTTAGCTACTGCTGTATGTGATTTCACATCCCTAATTCGAAGTACCGTTTAAAGAATAGAGAACTTATGGGATAAGAAATGTTAAATACTTTAAAAGTATATTGATCTAACATTGTAAGACGCTTAACGCAACCTTCACTCTCACAAACACCCACACAAACACTCACACATGCACCCAAAGTAACGCACACGACACTCAGCGCCAAATGCCGCGCGCGCGCGCTTGTGTGTGTGTGTGTTGGCGTGCGTGTGTGTGTGTGTGTTGGCGTGCGTGCGTGCGTGTGTGTGTGTGTGTTGGCGTGCGTGCGTGCGTGCGTGTGTGTGTGTGTTGGCGTGCGTGCGTGCGTGCGTGTGTGTGTGTGTTGGCGTGCGTGCGTGTGTGTGTGTGTTGTGTTGGCGTGGGCGTGTGTGTGTGTGTGTGTTGGCGTGCGTGCGTGCGTGTGTGTGTTGGCGTGCGTGCGTGCGTGTGTGTGTTGGCGTGCGTGTGTGTGTTGGCGTGCGTGCGCGTGTGTGTTGGCGTGCGCGCGTGTGTGTGTGTTGGCGTGCGTGTGTGTGTGTGTTGGCGTGCGTGCGTGCGTGTGTGTGTGTGTGTGTGTTGGCGTGCGTGTGTGTGTGTGTTGGCGTGCTGCGTGCGTGCGCGCGCGCGTGTGTGTGTGTTGGCGTGCGTGCGTGTGTGTGTGTGTGTTGGCGTGCGTGCGTGTGTGTGTGCGTGTGTTGGCGTGCGTGCGTGCGTGCGTGTGTTGGCGTGCGTGCGTGCGTGTGTTGGCGTGCGTGCGCGTGTGTGTTGGCGTGCGTGCGTGTGTGTGTGTTGGCGTGCGTGTGTGTTGTGTGTGTTGGCGTGCGTGCGTGCGTGTGTGTGTGTTGGCGTGCGTGCGTGTGTGTGTTGGCGTGCGTGCGTGTGTGTGTTGGCGTGCGTGCGTGTGTGTGTTGGCGTGCGTGTGTGTGTGTGTGTTGGCGTGCGTGTGTGTGTTGGCGTGCGTGCGTGTGTGTGTGTGTTGGCGTGCGTGCGTGTGTGTGTGTGTTGGCGTGCGTGCGTGTGTGTGTTGGCGTGCGTGTGTGTGTTGGCGTGCGTGTGTGTGTGTGTGTTGGCGTGCGTGTGTGTGTGAGTGTTGGCGGGCGTGCGTGTGTGTGTGTGTGTGTTGACGTGCGTGCGTGTGTGTGTGTGTGTTGGCGTGCGTGCGTGCGTGCGTGCGCGCGCGCGTGTGTGTGTGTTGGCGTGCGTGTGTGTGTGTGTGTTGGCGTGTGTGCGTGTGTGTTGTGTGTGCGAGAGTGAAGGTTGCGCTAAATGTCTTACATTATGACGAATAACTATGACCCAACAACAAGTTTCATTAAGCTATACTAACCTAAATTTTTAGCAACGTACATTTTCCTCGACTCCACCGCTGAACGATTACGGGGAGCACAGGAGCGTTAAGGTGTGAATATCAATTTTTTTTTTCTCCCTCGAGAAGAGTAGGGGCCGGGGGGAGGGGGCTGCGTTTCCTGGGCACAACGGCGGAGGAAATGGGAATTAGAGATTCATCGATTCCCGCCTGAGAACAGGCAACAACGGCAAAATCAAGACCACAGATGGGTATGAAAAATGGATATGGAAAAATGCGATATGAGGCATGTTCGCTGTCCTGATCTTTTTCTCGCGACGACTCATGCTCTCATATTCATTCGTATTTTTTTCCTCGGTTGTTGTTGGTTTCTCTTTTTATTACCTCTAGTGTCGATAATCGCTGCAACAACGAGAGACAAATTTATCCAGCGTTGCTGGATACGTAATGTGTGTGTGAAAGTACAGAAGAAAAAAGGAAAAAAAAGAAGAAAAGAAAGTAATGTATTCGTGCCCAACAGCGGCTTCACAACAACGCCGATGGTTTTGGCACCACGCTTGCAGAGGAGACGACGAGAGCAGTAGTGTGTGCAGAATTTTTTTTTTCAGGACAGCGGGCACCTCCTTGACCTCCATTGTGGGCCAGGCAGGCAAATGATGGGAATTTAGCGCAATGTATGCTATGACAAAAAAATCGGGTGGGGGGTGTATTTTTCTCAATCAATCAGTAATTTACACGGCGTGCAAATGACAAAACCTATTAAGTTATTACTATGTTGTTGCGGTGGTGTCGCGATAATACATTTAGCTACTGCTGTATGTGATTTCACATCCCTAATTCGAAGTACCGTTTAAAGAATAGAGAACTTATGGGATAAGAAATGTTAAATACTTTAAAAGTATATTGATCTAACATTGTAAGACGCTTAACGCAACCTTCACTCTCACAAACACCCACACAAACACTCACACATGCACCCAAAGTAACGCACACGACACTCAGCGCCAAATGCCGCGCGCGCGCGCTTGTGTGTGTGTGTGTGTTGGCGTGCGTGTGTGTGTGCGGCGTCGTCATCATCCTAAACGGGTATGTGCCACCGAAACTAGACAACCCCCACAATTCACAGTTGGTCCACTATATACGATTCAAGGAGGCAACAGTTAGACCAGCCAGAAATGACTACGAAGCGACGGCACGGAGCCGGAGACCCAGAGTATACGCACAATGAGACAATATTAGGGAACGGGATAGGCAACGACGGCTACGAGAAGATCACAAAGCGATGGAAAGCGTACGCCAACGACGATGTACCTGTAGATCTATGAAAGGTTGCTACGGGTCGGTTCAGACAACAGTGTCTGTAACTGCCTGTGGTTCAACACTGAACGTCTGCGCACCTAGAATTAACGTAAAAGCAAACCAGCAACTAAAGCCTATAGCAACGACCTAGAAGCAACATACAACAAAAGTCGCAGTTTAACCGCAAGCGCGAAGCAATGAATGAGATAGCAACAATATGGAATGTAACGCTGAGAACCGTGCTATCAGATCAAAACGTGCAGCGCGCCACTCACGCACAAATGACGCACGAAAACAACACACACGTCAGGACGAGAGCTAACTAGGAACGTTTAGCGTTCCACGCTCAACGCGCCGTTTAAACGAAAGCGACGCACGAAACGTGATAACAAGTATACAGATGTGAGTGCAAACTAACGAGTGTCACAAGTTGTTACTTCGCTGTGTTTGAAAAGCACGCTCTTTTTCGCAAAAGGGGGCCTGCTCAGCGAGCGGAGTGACCTTTGTGGCCCAGGCAACTTACGCGATGATGATGATGATGAAAAACATTTATTATAAAAGAGAAAGGTACGGGCCAAGCATGACCCCGCTACATGGTCGGCGTCCTTAGTCCGGGACACCGCATGACGAGGCCCCTACTCGCGCCCGTCTCACCAGAGCCCGTTGAGACTCTACTGATGAGCAGTTGAGGAGGGCAGTCTCCCATGCCTCTCGGGAAGGGGTATGGGAAGGGGTAGGTGGGGATTTTTCGGACATGCCCATACCATGTGTAAAGATATCGTTCGGTGAAAAGCCAAGGCCACCAACCGCAGTAAGTGGTAGATATAAACAGCTTGGCGTTTAAATGTTGGAGGAGGTACCCCTCGGTGTCCCATAGATTCTCCCTTATCCTTCGGTGGGGAGACACGATTCTCCCCACCGAAGGATAAGCGCGTGCGCACAAGCACCTAACCACCCCGCCCCCCTCTTCCCCCACGGAACAAAGTACGCGTGGAAGACAAGCGGGCGTTGGCGCATCGCGACGGACGAGCTGGGTGCCGAGCGCAGGCGGATTTTTTTCTTTATTTAGTTTTCATATATACAGATACGTATACATATACAGTACATGACGTGGTGGCGGCGGCAAAAACCAGCCGAGACCGTCCGTATAACTGCTCTCGCAATAATAACCTGCACCACATAGATGAGGCCTAGAAACAACAACCAGCAACCATATTAGTCTTAATAAGCGCTCAGTTTCATTGTTTAGCATTTCGTGGCTCGCTACAAGCTTCACCTTTTGTATACGTGGTCCACGTTGCACTCACCAAATGGCCTGCTGCAACTCCGTGAGGTCTCCCTGTATGGCGTGCTGCTGAAGAATGGTCAGCGCCGGCGCCGGTAGGTCCCCGGCCCACTCGTAGCTGGGGCACTGGGCATGCAAGGAAGCGAGTCGAGTTCACTCGAATACGGGAGAACATGAATACATATACAGATTCAACGCACGGCAGCCTTAAGCTAGATGCGGTTGTGCCCCCAAACAGAGGAAAGAATGAGCGGGTGATAGACGAGAAGCGGGCTGAGATTTTTTTCGTGAAACGTGCCAATAAGCTGACTGATTTCCGTATACTGGTGTGACGTGCAAGATTCTTTTTAGCTGCGGCAGCTCGTACGTAGCCGGTGCGTGTCGAAGTCATGACGCTCAAGGTGATGAAGTGTCGTAACTTCTCACGCCCGTGTCATCCCGCCCTGCTTAGCTTTCAGCGCACTTGTCGGGACGAGAGCAGAGCGAAAGCAGGTATGGCGTGGGACAAATATCTCCGCTCGTATTCACGCATCCTCTTAACTTGTCCTGCCTTGGCTCATTCTGAATTAGAACTTAATTAGCAGGCTTAGAAGGCTTAATTAGCAGAATTAGGCCACGGGAAAGTCACGTAATTTCGGTGGGTTTAGTTTTATCACACCGTAGAGTTTCTTAGAAGTAAGTAGTGAAGACTTGGGCAGTGCGGTCGTTCAGCCACCATGGGAATTGTCGGTAGTTCACAAATTTACCTCGTATTGACGCATTCCAAAAGCTTTTCCGGCGGTGGACTCGTGCGGCAATAAATTCCTTTAAATAGACACGAACGTGCAACAATGAGTCGGCTTACATTGACGAAGTGTTCTCTGAGCATTCCTGTCGTTCATCTTACCATAATAGGTTCATTATTACAGGAGAAAATCAAGGTGAAAGTTTAAAAGTTTCAAACTTCGCGCCGAAATCTGCGCGCATGACGTCACGAATTTCGAAGTGCCTTTGTCAAATTTAGCTGACACTGGCTCGACGAAATTTCCCAGAACTTGGTACGTTAAGTCTCCGGCCCCATCAACAGATATTTTGCTTCGTTTTTACCTACGAGAAGCTACGTATAGGCTTTATAGCAAAAAAAAAAAACTATCAAAATTTATGACGTCTCGGCGTTTAGTGCAGGAATTTCAAAGTTGAGCCGCCACTCGCATTTTATTTTCGCGCGTTTTCTCACGAACAAAGCGTCTTCTCGCTGCTGGCGCGGTGGTTTTAGATTTGTGAAAACGTGGTGTACAAGTAACCGAAAAATCCTTATCCTCTTTAGTGTCCTTTTAACCGCAAGCGCGAAGCAATGAATGAGATAGCAACAATATGGAATGTAACGCTGAGAACCGTGCTATCAGATCAAAACGTGCAGCGCGCCACTCACGCACAAATGACGCACGAAAACAACACACACGTCAGGACGAGAGCTAACTAGGAACGTTTAGCGTTCCACGCTCAACGCGCCGTTTAAACGAAAGCGACGCACGAAACGTGATAACAAGTATACAGATGTGAGTGCAAACTAACGAGTGTCACAAGTTGTTACTTCGCTGTGTTTGAAAAGCACGCTCTTTTTCGCAAAAGGGGGCCTGCTCAGCGAGCGGAGTGACCTTTGTGGCCCAGGCAACTTACGCGATGATGATGATGATGAAAAACATTTATTATAAAAGAGAAAGGTACGGGGCCAAAGCATGACCCCGCTACATGGTCGGCGTCCTTAGTCCGGGACACCGCATGACGAGGCCCCTACTCGCGCCCGTCTCACCAGAGCCCGTTGAGACTCTACTGATGAGCAGTTGAGGAGGGCAGTCTCCCATGCCTCTCGGGAAGGGGTATGGGAAGGGGGTAGGTGGGGATTTTTCGGACATGCCCATACCATGTGGAAGATATCGTTCCGGTGAAAAGCCAAGGCCACCAACCGCAGTAAGTGGTAGATATAAACAGCTTGGCGTTTAAATGTTGGAGGAGGTACCCCTCGGTGTCCCATAGATTCTCCCTTATCCTTCGGTGGGGAGACACGATTCTCCCCACCGAAGGATAAGCGCGTGCGCACAAGCACCTAACCACCCCGCCCCCCTCTTCCCCCACGGAACAAAGTACGCGTGGAAGACAAGCGGGCGTTGGCGCATCGCGACGGACGAGCTGGGTGCCGAGCGCAGGCGGATTTTTTTCTTTATTTAGTTTTCATATATACAGATACGTATACATATACAGTACATGACGTGGTGGCGGCGGCAAAAACCAGCCGAGACCGTCCGTATAACTGCTCTCGCAATAATAACCTGCACCACATAGATGAGGCCTAGAAACAACAACCAGCAACCATATTAGTCTTAATAAGCGCTCAGTTTCATTGTTTAGCATTTCGTGGCTCGCTACAAGCTTCACCTTTTGTATACGTGGTCCACGTTGCACTCACCAAATGGCCTGCTGCAACTCCGTGAGGTCTCCCTGTATGGCGTGCTGCTGAAGAATGGTCAGCGCCGGCGCCGGTAGGTCCCCGGCCCACTCGTAGCTGGGGCACTGGGCATGCAAGGAAGCGAGTCGAGTTCACTCGAATACGGGAGAACATGAATACATATACAGATTCAACGCACGGCAGCCTTAAGCTAGATGCGGTTGTGCCCCCAAACAGAGGAAAGAATGAGCGGGTGATAGACGAGAAGCGGGCTGAGATTTTTTTCGTGAAACGTGCCAATAAGCTGACTGATTTCCGTATACTGGTGTGACGTGCAAGATTCTTTTTAGCTGCGGCAGCTCGTACGTAGCCGGTGCGTGTCGAAGTCATGACGCTCAAGGTGATGAAGTGTCGTAACTTCTCACGCCCGTGTCATCCCGCCCTGCTTAGCTTTCAGCGCACTTGTCGGGACGAGAGCAGAGCGAAAGCAGGTATGGCGTGGGACAAATATCTCCGCTCGTATTCACGCATCCTCTTAACTTGTCCTGCCTTGGCTCATTCTGAATTAGAACTTAATTAGCAGGCTTAGAAGGCTTAATTAGCAGAATTAGGCCACGGGAAAGTCACGTAATTTCGGTGGGTTTAGTTTTATCACACCGTAGAGTTTCTTAGAAGTAAGTAGTGAAGACTTGGGCAGTGCGGTCGTTCAGCCACCATGGGAATTGTCGGTAGTTCACAAATTTACCTCGTATTGACGCATTCCAAAAGCTTTTCCGGCGGTGGACTCGTGCGGCAATAAATTCCTTTAAATAGACACGAACGTGCAACAATGAGTCGGCTTACATTGACGAAGTGTTCTCTGAGCATTCCTGTCGTTCATCTTACCATAATAGGTTCATTATTACAGGAGAAAATCAAGGTGAAAGTAAAAGTTTCAAATTTCGCGCCGAAATCTGCGTGCATGACGTCACGAGTTTCGAAGTGCCTTTGTCAAATTTGGCTGACACTGGCTCGACGAAATTTCCCAGAACTTGGTACGTTAAGTCTCCGGCCCCATCAACAGATATTTTGCTTCGTTTTTACCTACGAGAAGCTACGTATAGGCTTTATAGCAAAAAAAAAAAAACTATCAAAATTTATGACGTCTCGGCGTTTAGTGCCGGAATTTCAAAGTTGAGCCGCCACTCGCATTTTATTTTCGCCCGTGTTCTCACGAACAAAGCGTCTTCTCGCTGCTGGCGCGGTGGTTTTAGATTTGTGAAAACGTGGTGTACAAGTAACCGAAAAATCCTTATCCTCTTTAGTGTCCTTTTAATGAAGCCATCCAATGGTTGCTTGTACAATGTAGCGGGTCCCAGTTAAAGCCGACCGAAAAGCGTCTTCGCCGCCAATAGAAACCATTGCCAACTTACAGTCACTGAAAACGCGTGCGAGGCTACACCAATCAAGATACGGCAGCGGTGGTTATCCCGCTCAATTTACTGCGCGTTTTTGTACATTCAAACCCGCGTGTGTTAGCCAGCACTGCTCGGAGAAACGATAGCGAGTATGGAACACTATATTTTTACCATCTTACGCGATGGAGCATGTTATTTTCTCAATACATATACACGCTGGTAGCTGAACTTGCGTACTGCCTCAGCACATCAAGTCTACAGCCCTGAATTTACATATTTATTGTCTGCCCACGCTATGCGTGCGCGATGTCATACAAAGAAGCGTCCACCTCATGAATAAGAGACTCCGGCTCTACCAATAATGACACCCAAGAGGGGGTTAACAATTTTTCCGCGGAAAGGAATGAACTCTCAAGCTAGAAAGTACACGAGAATATGATTGGGCGAGTGATAGAGCACTATAAAGACTTCCCAAGGACGCAAAATAAGTGCAGTGACAAAGTTTCGCAAACCAAGAAACTCATCTTCGCGACGCTACTGCAATGAGGCGTCATAAAAGAATGTAGTTCCTATAAAAACAAAAGGAAAAAAAACGCATTCGTTCCGTTTCGTAAGAAAGCCTTTAGTCGCTTAGCGACAGAGCGTATCGATCAGGAAAAGTTGAGAAAGACAATCTGACGCGCCAGCAGTACAGCTCGGTGCGTATACCTTCCACCGGTATATACACAAAAGAAAAGAAACAAAACTGCCGAAGCCACGGCGTCTATGACTCGCACAGAGGATAGCGTTTGTGTCACGGGTGTGTAACTGCCACCTGCGAATAAACGTCGATGCTGTCCTGGCAGCCACCACAATGACGACGCATTTTCTGGTGTTTTTGTTTGTGTTTACTGCCCCCATTTCCGGCAATTAACAGCTGTCGTAAGATCGGATGAAGCAGTAAAGATGAAAAGCCAGCATCACGTAGCGAATGTCGCGTTCACGAAATCCACGCACGCTACAGAGTAACCATGGAAACCCGCGACTCGTAAATAAACAAAAGTAAAATAAAACTTTTGTTAAAGTTGTTTTTTTTTTTTTTTGCTGAGTTTCGTACTCATGCTGTGAAAGAAACGATACTGCGATAGTATGCTAGGCTGTGTTCTATGTTTCCACAGTGCAAAAAAGACAGACAATGTGTGACAGCGGGCAAAAATCACGCTCCTTAGGACGCAGTCTAGCATAGAAGCTTTCCACACCTGCCGCCCGACCTCCCAAATAGTGAGCACACATAAATAGCCTACAAAAAAAGTGGATGTGGTAGCCAACGTGGTAGAGCATCGGACGCAAAGTTACAAGGTTGTTTATTCTTACCTAAATGACGGAAAGTGTCAGTTTTCAGTCGATTTCCCTCAGTGTAAATGACAATAATTACTATCAATTTAAGAAACCGCGAATAATTTTTCTCTCACCTTTCTTGACTAAATTGTCTGTCACTTTCATTTACACTTTTAGCCTGCCTACATGCAGCTTGTGACGATGTTTTTCGTGTGTTTTTGCTTTTTGTTGAAGTATTTGCGTCCTTGGTTGTCGTCTACGCAGTTTCTTATCCTGATGTATCGCAGTTCAGTTTCAATAAACACTGGTTGTTAGTGAATCCCCCACACACGTCATTCACGCTTTCATGATTCGTGAAATGCCACTCGATTCCCTTCCAGTAACATTGCAGCCAGCCCAGTCTAGCAATGCGTGGCCGTTCATTTGCAAACACTCACCAATTTAAGCATTTTACAAACACTCGTCAACTTAAACAGTGTTGCTTTAGATTCGAATGAATAACTCGGACTGATGTAACTGCCCCTGGTGTAACGGCCAAACTGGGAGCATAATACTACTAACCGAGAAGAACAATACGCAAAAGAACAATATGCAAAAGAAGAAAGAACACGAGGGCTTTCCAGGGCACAGCAACTGGAAAGTGTGCGCGGCCGTGCAAGATTTCATTGTACAGTCTAAGAGATTTACTTATTAACCTCAATACCAAAAGGTTCTCAGTTAAACCATGTAGGCTATTGAAAAATTTTCTTTGATATCAATAATTTATTGCTCAGTCAGTAGGAACAAATTCATCAAATTTTTTTCCCAAAAATAATATACAAAAAAACAATCTTTCTGTTAATTTTCTTTTCGCCAGTATTTATTTATATACATTCGTTTGTTTTTCTTGGCCGATCCCCAAGGGTGGGTGTCAGCCACGAGTTTAGAATCTAAATCTACATCTACAAATTCTTCTTAGACGAATCCATAAAGAGCCCGCATGAGCTGCTATTGTTTTGCTACATATGGTTGAATATTATCGAGTAAAGACACACGTGTACCTCTAGCTGCCTGAGTTCATGCTCGATGAATATCCAGAGCAGTTCCTGGTGCTCGACAACCTCCTTCCAGTTGTCGTCGATGGAGGCGGCCATGCCACGGTCCTCCCTGGTGCCCAGGCTGAGCTTGAGTCGTATCTGGCCCTGGATGGTGGAGCGCTGAGAACGGCCCTGCAGGGGAAACCATTGATCCAGTCCCGAGGATGGGATGTCCTGGAAGAAGCCACGCAGAAACAAGTCACTCGCCAATTAAACTCTTCTGGGCCGGCGATACAGAGTAAACAGTCTTGTGCTCTGCAGTAATAGTCCTTGAGCGAGTTCGTTTCCATGTGCAGAAGGGATTATGGCGCGAAAACACAACACATACAAAGAGCGTGACACCACGAGCGCTAACTTAAGCACAGCTATAACAACGAGTGCGAATTTTCGATATGGAAATGTGACCTTTTATCTTTATCGATTTGCCGTTGTCACATTACTTTTCAGTAACAGTACTATCTATTTTCTTTCCCAAGGGACGGCTTTCAGCTCTCCCATAGTAGAGTACCGAGTTTTCTAAGTCATCAACCATTTCTTCTAAACACACATTTTTTTTCTCGCTACAACGGTGGTGGTAGTGGTTAGAAGAAGAAGAAGAAGAAGGCGCCTGATTTTTACAGCCTGGTTCGGAGCATGGCGCAGCGCCTCTACAACGACTTCTGCATGTATGTTAGGCAACGACACAGCTTCCGTGCAGAAAATGGGAGGAGGTAGGGTGGTTCAGCCCTCACCACCCCTCACCCCGGCATTTTTCACCTTTGTGTGTGTTTATATAAGTGCACGAATACAAATTCCCGTATACGCAACTTCTCCCAAAAATCGTCCCACCCTAAAAAAAAAAAGGCCTTTATGACTAGGTTTCTTATGTCCCATAAATAGTTGAGTGACGTTATAGCACTTTCCCGCCACAAATGTTCATGTGGTCCCGCAAGAGTTGTAGCGTCGTATTTGCGGTTAACGACTATATATATATATATATATATATATATATATATATATATATATATATATATATATATATATATATATGCGTGATGCAATCTGCAAACATAAGCCAATACTGCCTATATAGTTGCTATCGCAATAAAATGGGCTCATCATGGGGGTTGTAAAAATACAGATGAGGTTGTTATCTTAAGTTATATTTCATTTATTGCATGGCCGGCAAAAGAGTTTCCGGAAACGATTGGATACTCGGCTCAGTCTCCCTTACTGTCCAAACAAAATGGCGGCTCACGAGAATGCTCGGATCGCTCGTATTTCGCCTGTGTGGTCATTTGCTCCAAGTGGATTCTTTCTTCGGCCCCTAATGGAAGTCGCATTCAGTCTTGAGTGTATTCGGATGAAACTCGGAGTAACTTATTTTTGAAGCCGGAGAGGTTCGATTTGATTGATATGTGGAGTTTAACGTCCCAAAACCGCCTTATGATTATGAGACACGCCGTAGTGGAGGGATCCGGAAATTTTGACCACCTGGGGTTCTATAACGTGCACCCAAATATGAACACACGGGCCGACAGTATTTTTATCTCTATCGAAATGCAGCCGCCGCAGCAGGGATTCGATTCTGCAACCTGCGGGTCAGCAGCCGAGTACATTTACCTCTATACCACTGCGGCGGGGCACAGCGAGGTTCGCTAAAAATAAAAAAAAAAATCCATGCGTCTCCACGAAGTGAGTGATGACGAGTGGGCGAATCTAAATCCGTAGGTCCACAATGTTTACGTTGAAGTCCCCGACTAGTATAAAGGGTTTGTGCTTCTAGTTGTTTTATATGGCTCCGTCGCAATTATGATTGACAGTAGTGTATCGTTAAACATGTTTTACGTGTGACATCTGTCTCTCACATCTACGAGTGACGCACGCGGACGTCGACGAGGCTATGCCCCAAGGAACTTCATCCATAAAACAGTATGCTGCTCTTTGGGACGCCTACACACGAACAAAGTGAAAACCAATTCCTCTGGGTAAACGTGCAGCTACAGGGTTGTATTCTCTCACTGCACACACACACCGAGAACAGAATAATCCATGTTGGTCGCATTCCGAGAACATGCTCAAACAACGAAACGGTGCCATTGACTCACACAGGTCCACGGCTCACGCATTCGAAGCTTGTCCACCATATTGCCAGCTTCTCAACTTTTAAGGGTACACAGGGGACTCGTTTATGGTTCCATCGTTAAACAGCTCTCACTGTGGTTAGCTTGGCCATGGTTGAGGCCGTCCGCTTAACAGGGGTGTTTTCGTACTCCATGCCCTTTGTTTTTACCAATGAAAAAGAGAGGTGGGGGGGGGGGGGGGGGGGGACGTCAGACTAGCGACTCAACCAATGCGTCACCCGCAGTTGCGTCGCAAGAAAGCAGCGAAGAAGAGAGGAAGACAACGTGAACTAGTGCGTGAGCACGCTCGTACAAGCGGGAATGATCCTGACTTCTACGAGGCCTACCTTAGTAGCCGTGTAATGCACGTGCGCATGTTCCACGCTTTGCTAATACAATCTGCGGATTTCACTGGATGCTTTGGAAAATTGAGGTGCCGGAAACGCGGGTTAGGAAATTAATTTTGTCGAAGGACATGAACAAAGAAAGAAAGAAAGAAAGGAAGAAAGAGAGAGAGAAAGAAGGAAAGAAAGTAAGAAAAAAAGAAAGGACGAAATACAGAAAGAAAGGACGAAAGACAGAGAGAAAAAGAAAGAAAGGAAGAAAGAGAGAAAGGAAGAAAAAAAGATAGGAAGAGAGAAAGAAAGAAAGGAAGAAAGAGAGAGAGAGAGAAAGAAAGGACGAAAGACAGAAAGAAAAGACGAAAGACAGAGAGAGAGAAAGAAAGAAAGGAAGAAAGAGAGAGAGAAATAAAGAAAGAAAGAGAGAAAGAAAGGACGAAAAACAGAACGAAAGGACGAAAGGGAGAGAGAGAGAAAGAAAGAAATAAAGAAAGAAAGAAAAAAAGAAAGAAAGAAAGAAGGAAGGAGAGAAAGACAGTTGATCAGGCAAGCACACGCCGATCCTTGCTTGGCCAGATTTCTCCGATAAGCAAAGAACCGCTGATATTTTGGCGCGCTAAAGAAGTTAAAGGAGCAACAATGCTGTCCATTCTACTCATCCTTCTCTTCTCGACGCGAGGTGGCGTCACGTCAAGTATACGTCACCCCGACCCGTTTTATTACCCGGACGACTTCAATGCTATCAGTGTGGAGAGATAACAGTGCTGTCCACAAGTGCAATACAGCCCGAGTCGCCCTGAAAAGCTTTGACGGAGGATTTTAGTCTGTCTGGTGCACCGCTTTACGCAAATACGGTTCGCGGATACCGGTGTACCGAGTGCGAACTACGCATGCTACGGGATAATAGAGAGTTATAGTATACCGGACTTACCGGGTTACCGGGTGTACCGTGATACTGGAATCGAAGTGCGCATGCGCAGATACGTACGTCACCCGCACAGCTTCCCGTACGCGCGGTATTTTTCAGATTTCACGTTACCGTGGTAGCGTGGGCGTACGCAGTGTACGTAAACACGGCGGCGCTCTCGGACGCCACTTCGAAGTGATTTTGGCGTAATTGTTGAAAGATTCACCTTGTCCGCCGCAAACGACTGTTCAAAGTGGCTTCGCTTGCCTTCAGTTAGCTTCGATGACCGAGTATCACGGATAAGTTGGCGTAGTTTTTGAGATAGCTTCCCATTTCGAACGCGCTAGGCCTAACTACAAGATCGATGTATCCAAATCGGAAACGTAGATGTTCTCGCGTTTGGTGCGTGGTTCATATTTATTTACTTTTATTATCACTAAAATAAACTTCTAACAATGTTTCGAGCGGCGGCATAGGCAAACATTCTCGTTTTCTTTTCATTTTCACCGTTTAACCTATTAACCACCTAATAGGTGGCGCCACCATCCAAGCTGGGGCACGTAAACCACGTAAACGCTATTCCGCTAAACTATAAGACGCTGCCCACAACGAACGTTTGCTCCACGGTAACGCCATTCCCTTAACCTACGCTATCACGCTAACGCTAAACTATAACTCTCTAATTTCGTTCTTCGCGGACGTTTACTGGACGCGCTTAAACGCCCGATACGCATGCCCGTTACACCCAATGTTTGCGTTAGCGGCAAACCGACTGCCGCGCGGCCGTTGCGGGACGTATTCGGGTGGTACGTGCTAAAAGCTCGTTACAACGATATCGGGCCTGATACCCTCCAGCATTGCGATATACGCAAAAGAGCACTGGAGTGTCAGGTAGACTAAAAGCTTCTAATAAAAGACGCGCTCTTCAGTCCAGTACATGACGTACGCTGTCCACCATTAATGACTGGCGAAGTGCACAACCCTTAATGTCGAACTCCCTTTCGTTTGAGTTGCTAGCGAGTACGGACAACCCTTAAATACCGGCTTCACGGAAGCGCCAAGGCTGCCAGCACGAATTAACCCTTATTCACGGAGTCCAAGGTCCCTCGCTCAGCGGTGCGTGAAGGAAGCCTCGCTGCGACCTGCTCAGCGTCACGGTCACGGAATCAGGCTTTCGGATTTTTTCATATTAAACGGTGTGCTGGCCCACAGTTGGTGCGCATACGCTAAGCACCTGATGTGGTTCGAATGCCTTAGATTATTACTTTTTTTTTTCCGGGCAGGTCAGGGTCCCCGCTATTATATACCTTGAATAGATGATGGCGGTTTAGCGTCAGAAACGGCCTCGACACTGGTTCCACGCGGCGTTTCTTTTGGATTAACTAGGCGAGTGATGAAACGCAACGCGACGTCTGACCTAAAATTTCTACGGTTTTTTTGTTTTTTAGTGAGCATTTTTCACACAGAATGAAACGAAATATCTGTTAAATAGAATAACTGTAAAGATCACTTATGCATTTCCCTAAGGAGACTCGAGAATAATAAAGCCTGTGTTTCATTATTTTATTTTTTTAGCTTTCCAGTCATTGCATCAATCCTCCAGAAAACTGTCCTTCCAAGAAGAGAAGAAGCGAGAAAAAAAATATCAGGAAGGTAGGGAGGTTAACTGAAGTCCAGTTTGCTACCCTACAAAGGAGAGAGGGGAATTAGGGAGAAAAGAGAGAAAGAGAGGAGCTTAGCGCTGCCTTTTGTGACCCGCCCCCATTTGCACGACCGACAATGTGATGTGACATCGCCGTCACGTGACATCATGGTTAATATTAT